GCAGCGCAGCGGGCTGGAGAACATATCGAAGACGCCTACGGCGAATCACCGCCGCCCCCTGCCTTTTTGGAAGCGCCTATGTGGCCGAACGTTGAGGCCAGACCTGCCAAGCTATCGGACCACGTGTTCCCCGAATCGGTTTGGAAAGCCTTCGGGGAACACGTGGGCATCTTGAAGGTCATCTTGGCCGTCTTGGAGGCCTCTTGGGCAAGCTTTGGGCGATCTTTGGGGCTTTTTGGGCCGTCTCGGGCCAGCTTCGAGCCAACTTCGGCCATCTTGGTGGGTTCCTGGCACGTCTGAAGCCGTCGGAAGCCGTTTGGGGGGCCTCTATGGGCCGACTTGGGGCCCGCTTGGAATGCTCCAGGGCCGTCTTGGAGGCCATCTTGGGCGTCTGGGAGGCCATCTTGGGCGTGTTGGAGGCCTCTTGGGCCCTCTTGGGGCCCTCTAGGGGCCATCTTGGAGGCCACTTGGGCCATCATGGGGCTCTCTTGGGGGCCTCTTGGGCGATCTTGGGGGCTTCTTGGGCCGCCTCGAGCCGTCGGAGAGCCGAAAAGGCGCAAATGCCAGAATCCTTCAAAAACCATTCAAAAATCCTTCGAAGACGCCTACGGCGAATCACCGCCGCCCCCTGCCTTTGTGGAAGCGCCTATGTGGCCGAACGTTGAGGCCAGACCTGCCAAGCCATCGGACCATGTGTTCCCCGAATCGGTTTGGAAAGCCTTCGGGGAACACGTGGGCGTCTTGATGGTCATCGTCGCCGTCTTGGAGGCCTCTTGGGCGATCTTTCGGCGATCTTTGGGGGCTCTTGGGCCGTCTCGGGCCGTCGGAAGGCCGAAAAAAGGGAAATGCCCAAATCCATCAAAAACCTTGGGAAAATCAGTGATTTTGGCATCTTTTGGCCTTCCTGGAGGCCCTCTTGGGGGCCTCTTGGGCCCTTTTGGGCCAGCTTCGAGCCAACTTCGGCCATCTTGGTGGGTTCCTGGCACGTCTGACGCCGTCGGGAGCCGTTTTGGGGGCCTTTCTGGGCCAACGGGGGACCCTCTTGGGGCGCTCCAGGGCCGTCTTGGAGGCCATCTTGGGCGTCTTGGAGGCCATCTTGGGCGTGTTGGAGGCCTCTTGGGCCGTCTTGGGGCCCTCTAGGGGCCATCTTGGAGGCCACTTGGGCCATCATGGGGCTCTCTTGGGGGCCTCTTGGGCGATCTTGGGGGCTTCTTGGGCCGTCTTGAGCCGTCGGAGAGCCGAAAAGGCGCAAATGCCAAAATCCTTCAAAAACCAAGGAAAATCAATGATTTTGGCCTCTTCGGACTCTCCTGGAGGACCTCTTGGAGGCCTCTTGGGCCGTCTGGGAGGCCTCTGGGGGGCCTCTTGGGCCGTCTTGGGCCGTCTTGGACTCTCTTGGGCCGTTTTGGAGGCCGTCTTGGACCATCTCGGGCGGACTTGGAGGCCATCTTGGGCCATCTTCGCGATTTTTTGAGGATGTCCCGAGCGAAACGGCCGTTCTTGGAGGATTTTTTGCGGTCGTTGAGCACGTTTGGGGAAATTCCGGGTGGCCGGCGGGTTCTGCCGGAGCCCACTGGGGAGTTCTTTTGGAAAAAGAGCCAAAACCAAAACCTGTAACATCCAGCACGCCGTGCACCCCTGCAAGCAGGGGGCGGCGGATCTACGTGACTTCCGGCGCGTCCCGCCACCGTGCCTGGGTTTGTGGGTGCGTGGCGCGTGGCTGCGCGGGTGGCTTGTAGGCTACGCGGGTGGCTTGCAGGGGCGTTGTGGGAAGCCCCTCGAGGGTGTGTTGGACGCAATGAGCGAGGATCTTTTCGGACGCCCCGTGGGAGAATCGTGGGAACCTCTCGAGATGCTCTGGGGACATCTCGTGAACTTCTTGAAGCCTCTGCCCGCCGTATTGAGGTTTCGTTGGCGATTCTGGGGCGACTGAGGCTCTCTGGGGATTCTTTCCGGCTGTCCTGGGATCCGGTTGTGGACCTTTGTGGATGTTGTGGGGCGATTTTGGGAGCCTCTGGGGCTGTCGTGGACGGTGTAAAGGCCCAAGGGGCGAACGCGCTTAAAACATACGTTATCTTTTGGAGATTGGTACGAATTTTGCCTAGTCGGGCTCTCCTGGGTGTCTTGCGGGCGTAGTGAGCCGTCTGGAGGGCTTCTTAAGCGCCCTTGTAACAATGGAAAGGTGGAGGCAGTGAAGAATATTAATCATTTCGCTCACCCGAGAGATTCTGAAAGAAACTACGAAAAATAGAAAGATGTCATCCCATGATCCCGAGAGTAAAATCCCGTTAAATCTTCCAACATTTAAACCTTTCGGTCCCGTCGGGCCCATGTTCAAAATGATTAATCGCGTTCGGAGTCCGTCGTGGGAGCATATCTGGGCTGTCTTGGGGCCCTTTCGGGCGCCTGGAGGGTTGTCTTGGTGGTCTCTTGGGTTGGTTCGAGGCCTTCTTGGGCCGTCTTGGGGCCATCTTGGAGGCTTCTGGAGAAGTATTGGGGCACTCTTTGTTGCATCTTGGGCTGGTTCGGGGCCATCTTGGAGGCCTCTTGGGCTGTGTTGGGCTGGTGGATGCTCGCAAAAACGAGAAAGCGAGAATCATGCAAGCATTCTCAGGACATCAATTCTATGACCTTTTCGGGCCCTTCTGCAGGTTCTCCTGAAACCCTCTCGGGCCGTATTTGGGGCCTCTTGGGCCGTCTTTCGACCATCCCGTGTTGGGTCCACTTTTGACCGTCTCGGAGGCATCTTTGGCCACTGTGGCGGCCTGGATGGCCCGCTGGGGCAGCCTTGGCAGCCATCGTCGGCATGGTCGACGCTGGGGAGAGAGCGCCAGGAAGGCGTCGGCCCGCCCAGGAAGCCTCGGGAGAGCTCTCCTCCTCCTCCTCCTTCGCCTCTTCCTTCTCCTCCTTCTCCCCCACTTTCCCTCCTCCTCCGCCTTCTCCTTCTCCTTCTTGTTCTTCCTCCTCGCCCTTCTTCCTCCTCCTCCTGCTCCACCTCGTGGGGGGCTGCACGCGACAGTCTGCTAAGAGAGGGGGGGGGCCTTTGAAAGCCCTGTCCTGTCAGACAGCGTTTGACATTCTACCACGCCGCAACGTGCCAGCGGGCACGGTGGCGTATCAAACAGGGTCAGCCTGTTTGTCCTAGGGTCCTCTTTTTGGGCATCTTCTGATGGAGGCGACTTTGTGTTGATGGTTCGACGAAGTGAACTCGCAAAGTGCAACGCAGAGCGCACCACAAGCGGTTGCAGCTTCGTTATGAGATGGAAGACTCGCGGAGCATGCTCTTGATTCGGCAAACATGTCGACCCAGTAGTATCGGCACCGAAGGTAGACGCTTGTTTTCTAGGATGTGGCTCGTGTGTCACGTTATCTTGTTGCTCTGGATTTTCTCCATTTTGAGCGGGGACGCTATGGGCCGTCGTCAGACTCGACAGTCCCATATATCACGGGGAGACGGGAGGTGGCGAGAGTGCGTCAGGAGTGTGCAGCGAGAGGGGAGCAGGGTGGATGGTCTGGATTGAAGACGGTGTACACCTTGCGTATTGGCAGGGAGGAGTATGTTATCAGCGGCAGCGTTGATACATCTGCGATCGGTATTAGCAGCTGTGTCAGATACCGTTTGTTTGTTGATTCAGTGTTCTCTACTGAACAGAACGTACGATTCATGCCGCTAGAGTATTGTCACCTCGTCTACCACGAAGCATGTACTGCACATGGGGAGGAGGCGAACACGGATAACGAGGGATATCGTATGTCTCGGCTGAGCAGGTTCCGAGGCGCTGGACGCGAAGCAAGTCAATTTCGTCGTCGATGGGAGCCCAGGCAGCGGCAGTGTAGCATGATTGACGGCAGATCGAGTGCAGCCAGAGCGTATTCCCATGCAGCGATTATGAACGAACAGCACATCATACCCGTAGGGAGGACGGAAGGGGCTATGGGTACCCAAGGACACGACTCTCATGCAGAGAGGTCGTCCCCTCCTTGAGGCTGCCTTATTCGATCTGATACTCCAGTCACAACCCGAACCATAGGGATCGCCAGGGAACGACGGAGACTTTTTGATTGAGGCTTTGGCTGCTCGTGATCCCCCGCTCGCAGTCTCCAGAAATCAATTTTAGCTTGCGGGTCATTCGAGACGCGCGTCCGAGTTCACAGACTCGCCCGTTCTTCCTCTGTCTTCCGTATTTACGAGCCTTCAGCGTTCCCATTTTTGCAGGAATCTCAGGAGGAAGCATTCTAACATAACACAGTTTGTCACGTGACTCCGCAGCGTCGGCGGAGTCCTCAAAGCAATCTTGGATACCAATGTTGTCATTCTTGCTTCTCGTAAGCCTTTCCCAATTCAGTGGAACCATTCTTTTCCTGTACCTTATTGCGAAGCTGTTCTGCTGTGGGCAATGCTGCATCGCTCCTCTTTTTGTGCCCTTCTGCCATTTTCCAAGGTGATCCGACTCCTTCGTCGAAGGCGAACGTGGACCCCCGCCAGCATGCTCAGGGGAACGGCGGATTGACAGTTTGGGCGAGGTGCCACGTCAGAGCGATAGCTCGTTCAATTTTGAGTCATTTCGGTTGTGCGCAGGCGTGATGATGGGTGATGGCTCACGGATCGTTTGGACGTGGTGCCGCGTCCGTGCCGACTCTGCAGGAATCGGTCTCTGTCATCGAGTACCTTTGATAGCAGTGTTGAAACGGAGCCAACGACCAGGTTTCGTTGTCTTCTTCTGCCATGTGCTTGTTGCGGATGCTTATTCAATCGCTTCGCTCATTCCGCCGGGCCGTATTGTGCCTTCGCAGACGTTTGCCTGCGCGTTCGTGCCCTCTTGGGGCCTCTTGGGGGCCATTTGGGGGCCTCTTGGGGCCTCTTGTTGGGCCTCTTGGGGGCCTCGTGCGGTCTCCAGGGGGCCTCCTGAACTCTCTTGGAGGCCTCTTGGTGCCTCCTGGGGGCCTCTTGGGGCGGAAGGCTCGAGTTGATGGTTCGTGTTCCGCCTCTCCAACTTTGAGCTTGGGGGGGTGGGGGAGCGTCCACTACAGTGGGGGCCCGTGCCAAGAAACACCCTGCTTGCCTCCAGGGTGCCCTGGGTTTCTTTTGTCTCGGTGGTTTCGCCGTGACAAGGCGTGACGTTCCCACACCACAAATCGATGGACGTCCTGGGGCCTCAGGGCTGGGTTTCTTGTGGAAGGTTTCTTGTGGCCTGGCCGCCGCTGTAACTGTTTCCTTCTGCTGCAGGTCCGACTGTACCGAGTGGCTCCAGGGGCGGCCGCCTTCGTCCCCCCCAGCTCCTCGTGCCGCCCGGCTCTCCGCTTCCCTCCACCTTGGTCGGGGGGCGGCAGAGCGGGGGGTGATGACTACGGGGGCTGGACATCATGGCGTGGGCCATGATATCTCGCCAGTTCTCATGGCGCCTCTTCTTGTTTCCTTACATCCCTGGCCCCCCCTCGGGCCGCGCACATGCCGCCGGCCATGATTTCCGCCGCCCCCTCTTTGACGCCCCCCCTCTTGGCAGCCCCCGATGAGAGGAGGCGGGCATCGACCAACAGACGAACGACACCACCCCACCCACGGCCCTCCCTGTTGCGCTGCGAGGTGGTGTCGTTTTTTTTTCTTGTCCTCTTTGACAGGTCCCGAGCTCACGGGGAGTTCCCCCTAGCCAGGAGGACTACCGCGAGGACATCTCCGCGGTGATGCGCGAGGAGAGCGCCGGCGTCAAGGAGACCGCAAAGGTAGGGAACAAGGCCCGGGTGCATCCCACGGCTCCTTTCTCGGGCCAGCTCCCCTCCCTCTTCCTCCCCTCCGTCCCTCCGTCCCGTCGTCCCTCCCTCCCTTCCTTCGTTCTCCTCCTCTCCCGTCCTCCCTCCCTCCCTCCGCCCTACCTCCTTCCTCTTCGTCCCTCCCTCCCTCCTTGCCTTCCTCCTCCCTCCCTTCCTTCCTCCCTTGCTTCCTCCTCCCTCTTCCGTCCTCCTTCCTCCGCCAGCACACATGGCGACCGAGCCTCAGTGGCTCCGGGCTGCGGGGTTTGCTCCGAGGGAGACTGTGCTGCAGTCCTTCGGCTTGCTCGAGAGCGACATGCCGCATGTGCAGGCGCTTGGAGAAGAGATGGCCCGTCGCGACGGGTCGGGAGTGGACTCCGACCCCGAGTCCGACGGAGGCGATCTCTTCTAGTGTCACCTGCGTTGAGCGCGATCCACAACAACAACGCCAAGAACACCAACAGCAACAACAACACGCAACAACAACAGCAACAACAAACTCAACACACAACAACAACACCAACAGCAACACCACCACCACCAACAGCATCAACAACACCACCAACAGCAACACTACCAACGCCAACACCACCAACAATAACAATAGGAGCATCAACAATAAGGACACCACCACCAACAACAGCAACAACAGCAACAACACCAACAAGCAAGAACAACAGCAGCAACAACAACCTCCACCAGCTCATAAAACGCTGCCCACACCGCGCAGCGAACACATCCGTCCTCGTGCAACACGCCTCCACTGAGCAGACGCCGGGTCGACGACGTGCAGGTGTGGAACGAGCCGGGCCTTCACGCATGGTGCGTGACTGTCTGGCTTTCGTGTGCTGGGTTGATGATCTGCTCAGCTTGGGTACTCCAGATTTCGTAATAAAAGGGAGGGGGTCTGGACCCTCCAAGACAAGCCATTTCAGACCCCCCCCCCCCGTGGGGGAACCCTCCAAAACATCGTCCCCAGACCCCCCCAGGCCCTCCAAGATAGCCTGGAAGAGACCCCCCCCGAAATGAGACCCCCCTCCCTTTATTACGAAATCTGGAGTACGCAGCTCCAGCTCAATGCAGGACGATCTTGAGAGGAATCAGATCATGTGGAGACCTTTCTACGCGAACTTCGGGAAGCACGCGGACTTCTCACGTCAGTAACGTCCAAGCTTTGGTTGACGGTCACGGTAATCGTCAGCACCTTTGGTTGCAGAACGCCGCGTTGTCCGTAAAGCGAGTATTTTTTGCTTCCTAGGTGCCTCCTACTTCAATGATCGAGTGGCCTCACCTTTTCCGTCCTCCTTGGGGGCGGACGGCACCCAATCTGCTTTCAACGTCTTCCTACTTCGTGTTCCTGCCCGCCTTCCTTCCGACCGATGGGTAAACCTCAGACGTTTTTTTTTTTGTTGGCGCCCCGCGTGCGCAGGTCAGCGCGTGAGCCCCGCGAATCGCCGTGGCGCCTGCAGCGGGGCGTGTGGGCCCGGCGGCCCCTCCGCCTGGGCAGAGCACCCGAAGCTCGGGGGCGGAACAGAGGGGGGTGATGACCAGGGGGGGTGGATATCATGGCTGGGGCCACGATATCTCCCCAGATCTCGTGGCGCCTCTTCTTCTTTCATTGCGTCCCTGGCCCCCCGCCGGGCCGCGCACGTGCCGCCAGTCCTGATTTGCACCCCCCCCCTCTTGGACACCCCCCTCTTGGCCGCTCCCGAGAAGCGCGCCGTGCCGCGCTCCTCTGCCCGGCACGCGTGCGGCAGCGCCGCGACCGCACCCCGCTCCACGGGGGCGACGGTCCGCCTCCGCCGCCTCCGCCGCCTCCGCCGCCTCCGCCGCCGCCGCCGCCGCCTCCTCCTCCTCCCCCTCCTCCTCCTCCTCCTCCTCCTCCGCCTCCTCCTCCTCCTCCTCCGCCTCCTCCTCCTCCTCCTCCTCCTCCTCCTCCTCTGCGGGCTGCTTTCGGTCACGCGCAGAGGGGGGTATGGGGGGGAAGGCTTCTCAGAAGCACCCCTGCTTCGCAGCAGGCGCGGGCCTCGTCTGCAGACGTGAGGCCCGCGCCTTCTAAGAGGCAGCCTCCCACGAAGAATCCTTCCCCCCTCCCCCTCTCTTGCGCGCGGCTGATGCTTCCGGACCAGGAGATCGGAGATCTGGTCGGAAGCGCGCGGCACTGCGGTGGGAGGTGCCCCACCCACCTGTGCCGCCCTGTCCTTGAGGTCTGGCTTCTCCCGCCTTCCCCGCGCCCCCTTTTTGCCACCGAGGCGACAGGGCCGAGGGTTCTTCACACCTCTCGGCTTCTATGATTTGTGATGTGCGTCGAGTGCTCACGCATTGCAGTGGAGGCCCATGCCAAGAAACACCCTGCTGGCCTCGGGGGTGCCCTGGGTTTCTTGGGTTTCGATGGCTTTGCCATTGAAAGCGTGGCTGTTCCCACACCGAAAATCAATTTACGTCCTGGGGTCTCGGGGTTGGGTTTCTTGTGGAAGGTTTCTTGTGGTCGGGCCCCCACTGTATCTAGGTGAGCGAAAAATGACATACACATAACGACTCGGAGGTTCGCGCGGCTTTCTCGGATCGGCGCTGGACCCCTTTCCCTGGCGCGCTCCGCGCGCCAGGGGCGGCGCCGGATGCGCCGCCAGGGGGGTCAGCGCGGATCCGAGAAATCCGCGCGGAGCTCCGATTTTTTTTTTGTTTTTTTTTTTTTGTGTGCGTGTGTGTGTTTGTGTCATTCTTCGTTCCCCTGGTGTAGGGGAGGCCCTGCGGCCGTTTCGCCGGCCCCGGAGGGGTGATCGGGAGGCCCCGGGGAGGTCCGCGAGGAGGCCGCGGTCCGCGCACGAGGGCATGCCGACCGTCATCCCACAGCGCTGAAGTCGGGCACGGGCCTCTCTACAGGAGGAATATTCACAAGTAGGCCAGACATATTTTCTGCCAGTTTCGACCATTTTTGATCATCTTTTGAGCCATTTCCAACCTTTCCTCCGAAATCCGACTGTGTCCTGTGAACTCTTCTGGGGCCCGTAGGGATCTGGAGGATTCCTGTGGTGTCTGTCCTCTGAAGTCCTGCGGAATCCGGAGGAATCCGGTGTAATCTTGTGAAATCCGGGAGAATCTGCCGACCCTGTCGGCGTGTGTGAGGGGCTTGTCCGTTCAAGTCGTCATCCCTGTCATTCGTTGGTCGTCGTCTCTGTCGTCCCCTTTCCCTGCCTCCCCCTTCTCCTGGGCTCGTCGAAGCTCCCCCCTTTCCCACGGACCTCCTCAGCGCGCCGACCAAAGCGAAGTTGAGCAACGTCGTAATTTAGTCGAAGGGGAGCCCCTTCCCTTCGATCCCTCCCCCGCCGTGGGGGAGGGGGGTCCCCGGGGGGGTCCCGGGGGATGGGTGTCAAATACGACGCCCCCCCGGGGAGTACCGCAGCCACAAAAAGCCCCAAGACGGGCCAAGAGTGCCCCAAGAGGCCCCAAATACAGTCCAAGAGAACCCCGAACCGCCGAACGATCTGTCCAAGACGCCTTGACGGCCTCCAGACGGCCCAAGAGGCCTGCAGAGCGCCCCAAGAGGCCTCCAGGAGCTTTCCCACGAGAGCCCCAAGAGGCAAACATTATGGATTTCTATGCGTTTTTGGCAGATTTTGGCGTTCCTGCCTCTTCCGCTTCCCCACGCGCCAAGACGGCCCAAGAGCCCCCCAAGATCGGCCCGAGACGGCCCAAGAGGCCTCCCAAAGGGTCCCCTAGCGGCCGAAGAGGGCCCCAAGACGGCCCAAGAGGCCTCCAAGACGGCTCCAGGAGAGTGCCCAGATGGGGGACCCGAACGGACATTTCGAGCTCTCAGCCCCAAGAGGCCCCCAAGAGGCCCCAAGAGGCCTCGAAGAAGCCCCAAGAGGCCCCAAGAGGCTCCCAAGGGCCCCCAAACTGCCCCAAGACAGCCCAGGAGAGCCCCGAATTGCCCAGGAGGCCTCCAAGATTGCTTCAAAACGGCGCAAGAGGAGCCCTGGACGGCCCAAGACCCCAAGACGGCCTCAAGAGAGCCCCAGACTGTTCCAAGAAAGCCTCTGGCCGCCTCCTCCTCCCCCTCCTCCTCCCCCTCCTCCTCCTCCTCCTCCTCCTCCTCCTCCTCCTCCTCCTCCTCCTCCTCCTCCTCCTCCTCCTCCTCCTCCTCCCCCTTCTTCTCCCCCCCCTCTGCTCCCCCTCCTCCTGCTCTCCTCTGCCTCCTTCTCCTCATCTTGCTTCTCCACCACATCCTTCTCCCCCCTCCCCCTCCCTCATCCACCTGCTCCACCCTTCTTCCACCTCGCACTCATTCTCCTCCCCCTGCCCCCCCCTCGTTTTCATCTTCGTCGTTCTCAGGGTCGGCGGCACCGGCCGTAAGGCCTTTGCAATATGAAGGAGCCTCGGGGGTCCTGGGGGGCCCTGCGGGAGCATGATGACTCCTGGGGGCTTCTGAGGTATCCTGGGGGGTCCCAGGGAATCTTGGTGATTCCTGAACATCCTGGGGCATCCTGAGGAATCCTGGGGGATCCTCGGGAGTCTGACGAACCCAGAGGAATCCTTGTAAGTCCAAAGGCATCCTCAGGGTTCCCGAAAGAATTCTTGGGAATCATGACGGGTATCCGAAGGAATTCCATTGGATTCCGGAGGAATTCAGTGGGATTCCTAAGGGTTTCCCATCGGATCCTTAAGGAGTTCCAAAGGATCCCCACGGCATTCCATAAAAGCGGTCTTAAGGAGTTCCATTGGATTCTGCGCGAGGCCTCTCAGAAGCCTCTCAGAAGCTTCTCAGAAGCCTCTCAGAAATCTTTTCACAAGCCTCGCAAGAGCCTCTCCTAAGCCTTTCAGAAGCTTAGCAGAAACCTGTCAGAAGCCTCTCACAAGTTTCGCAACAGTTTTTAAGAAGCGTCTCGTAAGCCTTTCAGAAGCTTCTCATCAGGAGCCACTCAGAAGCCTCTCGAGCCTCAGAAGCCTCGCAGAAACCTCTCATAAGCTTCTCATAAGCCTCGCATACGCCTCGCATGCGCCTCCCAGGAAGCTCTCAGAAACCTGTCAGAAACCTTTCAGACGCCTTTTGTAAGCCTCTAAGGTGCCCCTCAGAAGCCTCTCGACTCAAGCCTCTCAGAAGCCTCACAGTAACGTCTCATACACTGCTTATAAGCCTTTCAAAAGCCTTCCGGAAGCCTCCCAGAAACCTTTCAAACTCTTCTTTCGAGCTTTTCATAAGATTTATCCGAAGCGTTTCAGAAGCTTCTCAGAAGCCTCGCATACGCCTCGCACGCGTCTTTCAGGAGCCTCTGGGAAGCCTCGCAGAAACTTCTCAGAAGGCTCGCATGCTCCTTTCGGAACCCTCGTAAGCGGGGCTTCGAAGAGAGTCCCCGCATTTATGTTGTAGGAAAAACATGGGAACCTGGATCTCTGCTTGGCTGGAATTGGTCGAAACAGCGCGGGTTGCACCTGCCGAGCTGGGATAGGTACTCCAGAGTTCGTAATAAAGGGAGGGGGGTCTCATTTCGGGGGGGGGTCTCTTCCAAGCTATCTTGGAGGGCCTGGGGGGGTCTGGGGACGATGTTTTGGAGGGTTCTCCCAGGGGGGGGGGGTCTAAAACTTCTCGTCTGGGAGGGTTGAGACCCCCTCCCTTTTATTACGAAATCTGGAGTACCGGTGTTTGCTGGGATTCGTGCCAACTTCGGCCGAGGCCGGGGCTGGAGCCGGGGCCGAGGCGGGGGGAGGGGTCCCGAGCTCCCCTGCCACCAGGGAGACCGCAGCCCTGTGTCCCCCCCCCCTTCTCGACAGGTGGGGACCGCCTGGGGGAGGTTACCAGCCTCGAGCGTATCCCTATCCCTAAGATTGACACGCCAAAAGGCGGTGACAATCTTAGGGATTCGCCCTCAAAAATAGGGGAATCCCTAAGATTGGCATCGTGACGAGGAGGTACCCAGCATAGGGATAGGGATATGTTCCAGGCTGGGAAGGAGGGGAGGGGAAGGGAGGGCCATGCCCCCCGGGGCAGTAATTTGACCCGGCCCACTCCCCCGTACCCCTCCCTACCCCACCCCCTGCCCTTCTCCTGGCAGGGAGGGGAAGCGGGATGGAGTCGATTTGACTTCGACGCTTACTTCGCAGCGTCTTTTGTCTCCGTTTGTTTCGACATCTCCTTGGGAACGGGGGCGACGACGAAGACGACGACAGCGTCTCACACACGCCGACTGGGTCGGCGGATTCTCCCAGGCGTTGCCGCGCGACGCGTGCGGCATGACGGGTGATTTCGTACGCGCGCGGGCGGGCGAGCGCGCGGACGGGCGGGCACGCGCGCGAGCGATCGGTCGCGCGGGCAGGCGGGTCGCGCGGGCAGGCGGGCGGGCGGGCGAGCGGGCGGTCGCGCGGGCGAGCGGGCGGTTGCGCGAGCCAGCGGTCGCGCGTGCGGGCGGGCGGGCGGGCGGTCGCCTGGTTGGGCGGGCGAGCGGGCGCGCGGGCGGACGGGCGGGCGGGCGACGGGCGGGAGGGCGGGCGTGGGCGGGCGAGCGGGCGGTCGCAGGGGCGGGCGGGCGGCTGCGCGAGCTACCGGGCGGGCTGGCTGGCGCGCGGACGGGCGAGAGGGCGCGCGGGCGGGCGAGCGCGCGGGCGGGCTAGCACGCGGGTGGGCGGGCGGGCGCGCGGTCGCGCGAGCGAGCGGTCGCGCTGGCGGGCGGGCGGGCACGCGGTTGTGGGCCCGAAAGGGCTGGCGCGCGGACGGATCTCTTCCGAGGATTCCTCCGCGAAGGCTCCCAGGGCCATGCGGAGGCGATGGCATTGTTCAGCGCTGTTTGCAAGCGCCGACGCCCAGAGTAGCTCCTGCTCCCTCTCTCTTATGTCAGGAGGGCTATCTTTTTTTTGCGTGTCGTTGGGTGTTGGTCCGTGGGGTTGTTTGTGGGTGTTGCTTCGTCAGTTTTTCTCTCTTTCTCTCTGTCTCTTCCATTTCCGTCGTTGCTCGGAGTGTTACTAAGCATTTTAGGGCAGCGAGGTGGGGGCTCGGCTCGGAGCGCGCGCAGGGGGCACTTCGGTGATTGCTTCGAGATCGGACTGTTGATCAATAGTTCCCCTCTCGCTGTTGCATGGGCGTGCATGTATGTATGTATGTATGCATGTATGTGATGTATGTTGTATGTGTGTATGTATATATGTACGTTCGTGCGTACGTACGTATGCATACATGTACGTACGCATGTATGTATGCAGGCATGAATGTATGCATGTATGCATGCATTTATGCATGTATATATGTATATGTGTGCGTGTGCTGGTACCTATGTAGTCTATGCTTTATTTGTATGGATGCATGCGTGCGTGCATGTATGTAATGTATGTATGTATGTGCGTACATATGTATGTATGCATGTTTGTATATGTGTGTGTGTATGCGTGTGTGGATGCATGCATGCATGTATGTATGTATGCACAACTACTTGTACTGCATTGTAATGTAGTAGCGGAATGTACTGTAACGTATTGTAGTGAAATGTAACGCGCAATGCAGTAAACTGACATGTAATGTATGTATGAATGTACACATGCATGTATTTATACATGTATTCATGTAGGTATATATGTATGCATGTACGTGTGCTGGTATGCATGTATATATATATATATACACGTGTGTGCATGTATACATGCACGCATGTATGTATGTATGTATGTATGTATGCGTGTATGTATGTACGCAAATATGTATGTATGCATGCCTGCCTGCATGTATGCTGTGTATGTATGTATGCATGTATGTGCGTACGTATGTATGTATGTATGAATGCATGTACGTTCATAGGTAGGTGTGCAACCATACAAGATGCAATGTGTATGTATGTATGTGTATGTGTGTATATGTATGTATGTATGCATGTATGTATGTAGGTAGGTAGGTATGCATGTATGCATGTATGTATGTACGTGCGTACGTACGTATGTATGCATGTATGCATGTATGTATATAATGTATGTCTGTATGCATGTATGCATGTATGCATGTATGCATGTGCATGGTTGTATGCATGTTTGTATGCATGCGCGCGTACATGCATGTATGCATGTACATGTATATGCATTTGCATATGTATACGCATGTATATATATGTGTATGCATAAATGTACGCATCTATATATGTATATGTATATGCATATGTATATGTATACGTATAGGCATATGTATATGTATATGTAGAGGTAAATGTAGCTGTATATACATATGGAGACGTACATTATATGCCTATGTATATTTATATGTACATGCATATGTATATGTTTAATTATATGTATATGGATGTGTATGTGTAACTGTACACGTATATGTAACTATATATGCATGCATGCATGCATGCATACCTGGCATGTATGTATGTATATTTGTATGTATGTACGTATGTATGTACGTACGTATGTATGTATGAATGTATGCATGTATCTATGTGTGTATGTATGTCTGCCTGCCTGCCTGTCTGTCTGTCTGTCTGTCTGTCTGTCTGTCTGTCTGTCTGTATGTATGTATGTATGTATGTATGTATGTATGTATGTATGTATGTATGTATGTATGTAGTTTTGCGTGTATATACATGTAGAGGTTAGATATATGTGCGTGCCTGGATACATGCTCGTGCGCATGTGCAGACGCACGCATGCGTTTCTTGTTGAGGCGTGGTGAGCAGGCGACCAGGAGGGTGTGGATGAGGATGATAATCATGTCGACATCGAGCAACACAGAGGAGCCAAACCGGTGGGAGTGTGGATGGCCTCGAAATGCATTTTTATATTCCAGGTCAGAAAGACACCGTCGGAGAGGTTCATGAACATGTCTTCCTATTTCATGCGAGGCTGCGCGCGGGAGTCAGGCATGAATGGGGCAGGGAAGGGAGGGGCGCCTGGGTGAGGGTCATGGGGCAGAAGGGATGGAAAGGGGAGACACCAGGACGGGCGGAAAGGGCAGAGGGAATGAAGCTAGCCAGGGAGATGAAGAGAGGAAGAAATCGATATCAGGAGGCCAGAGACAGGACGAGAGAGATAGGTAGACACTCAGATGTTGGGGATATGGGCAGCGATGAGTGAAGGTAGGTAGGAGGAATGTCCGTGCGGACATGAAGGGGACGTTACATTGCTACTCGCGGGCAGTCATGCAATCGTGATTCCTCGCGTTCTCATGATGCTGATCCTGGGAGCATGCATTCTCGAACAAGTTGCTGCTTTGTCTTGCGTTCCCGTGAGAGGACTGCCATGCCTCTGGCCTCCTATTCCTGGTCTCCCTTCTGTGCTGGTGTGCAGCGTTCTCTTGCTTTCCGACTGTTCCCTGTTGCGCCTTCGTTTTTCTCCGCCCCTTCCGCCTCCACCTCCGCTGCCTTTCCTGCCACGGTGTAGAGTCCATGCCTGCGTCCCCCCTGTTCGTAGCCCTGTCCATAGCGCACACGTAGCACATTCAGATTGCCCTTCCATCGTCCTCTGCTCGTCTTCTCTCCTCCCCCTTTTCGGTCTCCTCCCTCCTCCCTCCTCCCTCCACCGTCCCTCCTTCTTTCTGCCGTCTCGCTGCTGCTTCTTCCCTCCTGCCTACCTCTCGCCTCGCCTCCTGCCTCCTGCCTCCAGCCCCCCTCTCTTCTTTTTCGCTTGAGCAGCGACCCGACGCCGGACAGGTGAGCGCCCATCTCCCTACCATCCCCTTTGCCCCCCGATGCCTCAGTCATCTTCCTCTTCCCCTCTTCCTCCTACCGTTCCTCTCCCCCTCTTCCCCTCTTCCCCTCTTCCCCTCTTCCTCTCCCTCTCCCTCTCCCCCTCTTCCCCTCGTCCCCTCTTCCCCTCTTCCCCTCTTCCTCTCCCTCTCCCTCTTGGCCTTCCTCTTCCCCTTTTGCGCCTCCTCTTCCTCTTCCCCCCTTGCCGGTTTTGCACTGCTGTGCATGCCTGCCGGAGGGCCCGGCCCTGCACACGGGGCCGCACCTCGGCCCGGACGGCCGACCGTCCCGGTGGTCCCTTCTTTCCCGCGCTGCACGCGCTCAGGGCTCTCCTACAACGGAGACCAATGCCAGGAAACACCCTGCCTGGATTCGCATCGAAGTCCTGGACGGAACGCAAGACTATCCATGCAGGGGCGGCCCTTTGCCCAGATCCCCCCGAACCCTCCAAGACAGCTCCAATCGGACCCCCCCCAAAATGTGACCCCCCCCCACTTTATCATGGAATCCGGAGTACCTCTACCATTCCCTAGGTTTCCCCTTTTTGGGCCTACTGGGAGGTCCTCGTCGCCGCCGCTGGATTCGCACCGAACTCCTGGACGGAACGCACCCCCGGAGTGGCCCGGGGAGGAGCGGCATCGGTACCGTGTGGCTTCCCCACGAGCCTTCAGGAACGCTCTGAGAAGGCCGCGGCGCCCGATGCATCCTCCAGAGCCGCTGGATCTCAGATATTCTCGCTTTATCCTCGCCCGATTTTGTCCTCGTCCTGGCTTTGTCTTACAGTGGAAACCCATGCCAAGAAGCACACTGCTTGCCTCCAGGGTGCCCTGGGTTTCTTGGGTTTCCGTGGGTCTGCTATGGCAAGCGTGGCGTTCCCGCACCAAAAATCCATGGACGTCCTGGGGTCTCAGGGTCGGGTTTCTTGTGGAAGGTGTCTTGTGGTCGAGCTCTGACTGTAGGATTTTCTCACTTCTCTTCTCAGGAACTGGGCATGTGTCCGCCCATCGCCGTCCGTACCCGCCGTGCTTGGTTACGATTTTCATTGTGAGAGCTTCGCACTTTGGATTGCACTGCATGTCTTTACATTGCTTCCCATTACCTTGCATTGCTTTGCCTTGCTTTGCCTTGCTTTGCATTGCTTTTCGTCGGTTTGCATGCTTTTTCGTCGTTGAATTGCAAAGGAGGATACGGATAACGTGCGGAAGGAGCAAGCGTTAGAGGACGGAGTGCTGTGCATGCCCATATATATATATATATATATATGTGTTTGTCTATACATGTGTAGATGTATGTGTTTTTGTGCTTGCTTGTTTGTATGTCTGTATTTCGGTATGTGTGTATGTATGTTTGTGCGCATGTACGTATGCTTGTAGTTATGTATGCATGTACCCGTATATATGTATGTCTATACGTGCGTATTTATTTTGCAGTACATAATCAGCTTTTTGATTTGAAAAAGTATACGCCTACATGTGCGTATGAGCAATAACGACGTGTTCATCATGTTATTGCTATAGTCACAAAACACACGCACACTTTTCAATACATATCAATGCATACACACATCTCTATATATCTATGTTTATACGGGCTTCGGCCCATCCCGCAACCGTGTTTTTGGTTATGGTCGGATGCCTCTTGGATGCGAGTGGGGATCTCGTGGGAGGCTTCTGCGAAACCTATTGGGGGCGGTTCTGGAGTGTCCTGGGGGCCTCTCGGCGGCCCCTTCCGGGCCTCTTGGGGGTCCCTCCGGGCCCGATTTGGGCCTCATCAGGGCCTCCTGGTGTTTCTGGAGAGCTCTTGGGGACCTGGTGGCGGTCTCGGCGGTCATCTTGGGGCGGAGGGCCCGAACGGTCGGTTCGTGTTCCCATTTGGGGGGTCCACAGTCGGGCCGTCTTGGCTGCTTCTCGTTGCCTCTTGGGCCGTCTCGGGGCCCTCTCGGACCGTTTGGGGGCCCTCTTCGGAGCTTCTTTGGCTGCCTTGGGGCGATCTCGGGGGTCTCTTGGGCCGTTTTGGTTGGTCGCAAGCCCGGAAGAGCAACAACGCTAACATTTTTCCAACGCCGAACTCACACATTTTTTCTTCTTCGGGCCCTTTTGGGAGGCCACCTGGGGCCCTCTTGCGGCGTCTTGGGTTCCTCTTGGGCCGTCGGGGCTTTCTTCGCTCCGGAGAGGTCACGCGGGAACACGCCCCGGCACGCGAGAAGCCATAGACAATTTGCGAGTTCGAGGTCCAGGTTCTGGGATGTTTTATTGCGGAGGGTTATGGACTCGAAGGACCAGGGGACACTCCAACGCGTGCCTCAAGGCACGGTGGCGGATGTTATACAGATGCGTATGTACGACTGTGCAGTTGTTGTGTTCTCTCTATTTGTGTACATGTGTCGATGCATGCATGCATGCATTCATGCATGTATGCCTCTATGTATGTATGCATGTATGTAGGTACGTATGTATGTATGTACGTATGTATGTATGTATGTACGTACGTGCGTTTGCATGTATGCATGTATGCATGTATGCACGTATGCGCGTATGCATGTATGCATGTATGCATACATGCATGTATGTGTGCATGTATGTATATATGTATGTATGTATGTATATATACGTATATATAAATGTAGGTATGCATATATACACGTATGTATGCATGCATACATGCATGCATGCATGTATACATGACTGTATGTTTACGTGTACATATATATATATATATATTGTTTGCATGTGCGTATGTCTGTATGTATGCATGCATGCACGTATGTATGTATGTATGCATGCATGCACGCATGCATGTATGCATATATGTATGTATGTATGCATGCATGCATGCATGCATGCATGCATGCAGGTACGTATGTATGCATGTGTGCATGCATGCACGCACGTATGTATGTGTGTATGTATGCATGCATGCACGCATGTATGTATGCATACATGTATGCATGTACGAATGTATGTATGTATGCATGCATGCATGTACGTATGTATGTATGTATGTATGCATGTATGCATGCACGCATGTATGTATGTATATACGTATGTATGTACGTGTGTATGTATGCATGCAGTTATGCATACATGCATGCATGCATGCATGCATGTATGTATGTATGTATGTATGTATGTATGTATGTAGGTATGTATGTAGGTATGTATGTATATAGGTATACGTACATGCATATATGCAGAGAAAAAAAGGGAGAGATAGTGAGAGAGCGAGGGAGAGAGAAAGAGAGAGAGAGTGAAACAGAGACAGAGAGAGAGAGCAATATATAACAAGAGAGAGTGATAAACAGAGTGGGCGAGAGAGGGAGAGATAATACACAGAGAGAGAGAGAGATATTGTAAAGTGTGAGAGATATAATGTAAAGTGAGACATATATATATATATATATGTTTATACATATATATAGAGAGAGAGATAGAGAGAGAGAGAGAGAGAGAGACGCGTAGGGGTGAGGGGGAGGGGGAGCGGAATAGGGAAAGGGAGAGAGAGGGCGGGAGGGAGAGGGGAAGGAGGGAGGAAGGGTAGACAGAGAGAGAGAGAGAGAGACACCGAGAGAGAAGTAGAGAGAGAGAGAGAGAGAGAGAGGGAGAGAGGAAACAACAAAAAAGAGAGAACGAGAGAAAGAGAGAACGAGATGGAGAGAGGGGTGGACGGGGGAGGGGGAGGGCGACGGGGGGAGTAAGTGAAGGGCTGTGCGCAGATGGCATCCTCGACCGCTCCAGCCTGGCCAATTCGGTCCTCGGCTTCCAGAAGCCCATGGCGGTGCGCGGCCCAGAAGAGGGGGGGGAGAGTGGGGAAACGAGGGAGGCAGCATGCGAGGGGAGGAACTCCGCAGGAGGCTCCTGTGCACCACCACCGTGCCCGGCCAGAGCCGCGCTGGGCCCCAGGATGGTGCACGGGTTTGTGGCCTCGGCTTGGAGGGCGCATGCACCATATCGGGGCCCGTGATGGCCTTGGCCAGGCACGGTGGAGGTGTACTACCAGTAAGTCGGACATGTCCCTCTACAGGAGGAGCATTCAAACATGATCAGAAAATAGCTAGGGGATGATTTTTTCCGTTGTTTTTGACTATTTTTGGTTCTTGTTTGGCCGTCTATGCATAGGAACACGCAGCGAGTGAGAGTGGAGGATGCGGGACGAGCGAGCGTGGGACACAGGGAGGGCCGCAGGACCACGGCGGGACAGCTGCGCGGGACAGTCGCGGGGCAGCGTCGGTCATCGAGTTTTCGTTTCGTTTTTGGTCGGGCCTGTCCCTCTACAGGGGGACAATGCGAACATAGTCAGAATTTTTTATCGGGACGATGTTACTACAATCTTGACAATCTTCGATTTGTTGAGTTTTTGTTTTGTTTTCCTTTCATTTTTCGTCCAGACTCCGCCTCGCCTGTAAGGGACATGCCCGACCTAAGTCTAGTTCTTCGAAGCCCTCGGAGTTCTGAGCCTCGTCTGCTGCGGCGGCGTGCGGCAGGCCCCGCCGCCGCGCCAGCGCAGCAGCGCAGAGCATGCAGGAGGTTGAGGTCAGGACGCGTACGGGAGCTTCTGGGGCCTCTAGAGGGCATAACTCCCCGCCTTCCTCAGTTCCTCCCTCCCTCCCTCCCTCCCTCCCTCCTCCTCCTCCTCCTCCTCCTCCTCCTCCTCCTCCCTCGCTCCAGCCCTCCCTCCCGCCCTCCCTCCCTCCTCCTCCTCCTCCTCCTCCTCCTCCTCCTCCTCCTCCTCCTTCTCGGGAGCCTTTTTGGTCCGTTTGGGGAGGGCCTCAGTGGTCTGTCTAAGGGGACCTCTGGGAGGCCTTGTAGGGGGTGTCTTGGGCCTCCACGTGGGCGTCTTGGGGGCCTTGCTGGGGCCTTGCTGGGGGGCTGTTGGGAGCAAGTTGGGGATTGTGTATGCAATACTGTAGGAAAAGGCTGCCAAGGCAAGATGGAGTTCTCCCTCTTGGGCGCTTCTTGGGTCTCTTAGGCCGTCCTGGGGGCATCTTGGATCGTCTTGGGCCCCCCCCTGGGGCGGTCTTGAGGGTCTCTTAGGCAGTCTTGCAGCCCTCTTGGGGTCCTTTTGGACCGTCTTGGGCTTGCGGAAGCAAGAAAGCGCCAGCATGTTCAAGTCTGTCAAAACATTATGTAGCGACACTTTCTTTATCTCGAGGGCCTCTTGGGGAAGAGAGAGAAAGAGTGGGAAAGAGAGAGAGAGAGAGAGAGATATAGCGAGAATGCAAGGGTCATCCCCAAGAACGCCAGCTTTCCACGGCATGGATTCCAGCTCAATTTTAATATTAAGCAGGATGGCGCATTTTGGAGCCGTACGAGTCCATTACTGATGATTACGTATGTTGTATTCTCGTACTTCCATCTTTTGATGTATGACTGCGGCTGGGGAACGGATGGGAAGAGGAGGGGGGGACGAGGAACATACGGATGACGAGGGGAGGGAACAACCTGAGGACCAGGACGAGGAGGAGGAGGAGATGGAGGTGGTGCAGGAAGAGGAGGAGTGCAGAGGCGAATGAGGATTCGAGTGAGAGCGACGCCGTGGGTTAGGATGAAGAGAGTATCATGACAGGACGTGGACGGGATGTGCGCGATTAAGGAGGGTGGAGTGGAGTCGTATAGCGAGGAGGGTAGTACGGAAAGCTGCATGGCAGCGTGTTGCCCAGGTCGCCATGTATGCCGTCGCCTTCGCTGGCATAGTGTTTGTCCTCATTTCCCAGGCTAAGGAGGGGTTTGGTCTGCGACAGGAATCAGAGGGATAAGCGAATAGAAGGTTTGGGCGTATGTGTGGGCAAGAGAATGGGGCTACTCGCGAAGGCAGACAAATGTCGACATGGAAGGAGAGGGCAAGTCATTCGCGTCCAATCCGAGCACATGCGTTGCTGTGTGGTGGTTGAGGCTGATGTAACTTTCCCCTTCCGTGGCTTGTGCCGGCCAGGCTGCGTAGCTGGCGCTATCGTTTGCTCGCGCGCGCGCGCGCGCGCGCGCGCGCGCGCGTGTGTGTGTGTGTGTGTGTGTGTGTGTGTGTGTGTGTCTCGTTGTGGCAGTATGCCTCGTGGGCACTACGTTGTGCCCTCATAGTGGCGCTAATCGCGCTTCTCGGACATCGTGGGAGATCATCGGTGTCTTCCAGCGCAGCTCACTTATCCTCTGCCTACATGCTGAGAACAGATGAGCGCTCCAAGACGGCTCGAGATGGCTTCAAGACAGCCCACAAAACCCAAAAGCCAGCCCACGAGGCTTCAAGAGGCCCCCCTGGATGTTCCCAGGAGGCCAAAGCGAATTTGCCTTCTCGCCGTTCGCATCCGATGAGCTTTCGAAGCCTCGAACTAGCCTCCAAGAGGCACCCCAAGAGGCCCCGAAAAGAACCGAAGAGGCCCCAAGAGGCCCCTAAGAGGCCCACCAAGAGGCCCCCAGGAGGCGCCCGACGTTTCCTCCTCGGGCTCCTGTCTCCCCGTGACTGCCCAGGAGGAGGAGGTGGAGGAGGAGGAGGAGGAGGAGGAGGAGGAGGAGGATCGCTGGAACCCTTGCACGCGGAGCCACAGCAGCCAGGTGCTGGAGCTCCATGCTGCGCCCCTTTCCTCCTTGATGGAGCCCAGCGCAGGCACAGAGTTTGTGACCCGGCAAAGTCGGAAGGGGGGGCCTCCCAGCACCTGGGCGCGGACGACGGCCACGGCGCCGCCACGACCACGACGTGCGGAGCGACGGAGGTGGACGACCACGCAGGTGACGGCAGGGCACAATCTGTGGGTGCTTGGGTGAAGCAGCGATGCTTCTGACAATGATTCCGACGGTCTGATTTTTTCAGTCCCAGCTTGTTCAAACGGATTTCGACCTCCGTGGGCCGCTTTCGGCCCTTGGGGACTGCTAAAGACGGATCTGGGGCGAAGAACAGCCCCGGGGGCACGGGTCGGGGGCTCCAGGGACGCGGATTGAAGAAACTTCATCGTCGGATATCTTGATACGCAGCCTGGCGGGGTGCTGTGAGTGTCGCTGGGACTCCTGCGAGAAGATGTAGCGTTCTGTGACGTGATGTCTCGGTCCTGCCTGGTGCCCAAGGGGAGTGAGGCGGGGAGGGATGCCGGGCAGGGAGGGGGGGAAGGGGAGGGGGAGGGGGAGAAAGGAAGGGCTTTGTGAGAGGGGGAGGAGCAGCTTTAATTGCGAGGGGCCGCCCCGGAACCTCGCCGTCCGCCGGACCTCCGGCTTCGACGGCTCCGCCGAGACCAGCACCAGTGGACGGCGTCACCCGTGTCAGGCGATCGCAGACATGGGTCAAGGGGGCGTGGGTCAGCGACGGGTCCCGTTTCCAGGGGAAGTCGCGGACTTTCGCCGCCGAACGAGGCGGCACCGTCGTCTCTTGGGGAGGGCACCTCCCCCCATCCTCGGAGTTGGCGACCGCGCGCCAAATCCACGGATCGCCAATCCACGTTGGCGCGACCCCGACCGGGGACCGAGCCTCGAGCGGGGCGCCTGCGCTCTCTGCCCGGCCCCTGAGATCCGACGACGCGGAAAGCTTGAGACATCGCGAGAGAGATCCGACGACGCGAAAAGCTTGAGACATCGCGAGGAATCACCACCAGAGCTCCAGGCCCTGTCTTTTTGCGGCATCTTTCGAGCTGTATTGACTTGTGAGGGTCCTGGAGCTCCGAACCTGGCGACGACGCCCAGCTCGAAGCAATTGCGACGCCAGGATCTCAGGGGCGCTCTCTCTCTCTCTCTCTCTCTCCCTCTCTCTCTCTCTCTCCCTCTCTCTCTCTCTCTCCCTCTCTCTCTCTCTCTTTCTCACCGAGCGCGTTCCACTACTCACAAAGTGCCTACTCTCAAACGTCCGAGAACATACACGTGTCTGCATCGATGTAGTGTATCGCAGATCCCCCGCTGCGAATCCATGCTATGTGCGAGCAGTTACTTTACGGGCGGTGGAACGCGCTCGTCTGCGGCAGATTCGCGTGGTGTCGACTGGCGGCGACCCCAGCGCGTGCGTTTAGGACGGAACGCCGCCTGTGGCCCAGAGCCGGCCCGTCGTTGAACGATCTGGCGTTCATGGAAGGGCCGAAACTTGCCGTACAGTCCTGGCCCTGAAGAAGGAACCCTTTTCGTTGGGGAGGGGCTCCACGTTCCTTAAGTGCTCCACACCTTGCCTAAGGTTTCCCTGAAGTTTTCGATGGGAAATCGAAGTTTATTGAATCGCTTCGCTCATTCCGCCGGCCCGTATTGTGCCATCGCGGGCGTTTGCTTGCGCGCTCGCGAGCCAGGCGGCGCTGGTGGGCCGTGGTCGTTTTCCAGAGGCGTTGCGGCAGAACGCATGGGGATGAAGCAGTTTGTTTGGAGCTTGTTGTGGGGGCTTCGGCCTCTACTGTCTTACGAGGTGGCTATCTGGTGGTTTTCGGCCCATCCCGCCACCGTGCCTGGGTTGTAGGTCAGAGGCCTCTTGGATGTTCGTTGAGATATCGTGGCAGGCCTTTCGAGGGTTTCTTTGGAGGCAGTCTTGAGGGTTCTTGGGGGCCGTCGGGGGGCTTCTTGGGGCTTCTGTTTAGGCCTCTTGGGGTCTCTTGCAGGCCTCTTGGGGCCTCATGGGGGCTGCTTGGGGCGGAAGTCTCGAATTGTCGGTTCGTGTTCCCTCTCTTGGGTCCCTCTCGGGGCCCTCTTGGGGCTCTCTTGGGCCGTTCGGGCGTCTCGTGGGCCGTTATGTTGCTGCTGCTGCTGCTGCTGCTCCTCCTCCTCCTCCTCCCCTGCTGCTGCTGCTGCTGCTCCTCCTCCTCCTCCTCCTCCTCCTCCTCCTCCTCGGAGCTTTGCAGGGGTTCCTGTCTGTTGTCGGGGTTCCTGAGGGTTCGCCCGGGGTCCGTCCCACCCCGCTTTGGGAGGAAATATGAGGGGGAATAGGAGAAAATGGAGGAGAGGGAGGTGGGGCCGGGATATGAGGGAGGGAGGGGCAGATAGATGGAGGTGAAGGCGGAGGATGATGAGGGCGACCACTTCGAGGGGGATGGGGCCAGTCGTGCTTGACATCCCACATCATACACGTTGCCGAATGCGTACGCATGTTGGCCGTTTGGGGATCGGTGATGTGTGTGCGGTCTTTCCATTATTCATATTGTTGGTTGTGTTTGCAGAAGACACGCAACCGACGACCTCTCATAATTCGCGCTGACCTCCAGAGCCCCCCGCACATTTCCAGGGCCATTCCCAAGCTCATCCTCATCCAATCGAAATTGGAGGAAAGCGCAGTGAAGGATCCAAGGGTGAGGGACGCGAGAAAAAACTGAGGGTTGGGGATCTGGGGAGGGGGCATCTCGGAGAGGTCATGGATGCTTCTGGGGGTCTCTTCTGGGAGCATTAACGAGCTTCTCAGGAGGAGTACTTGTGACCCTCTGGGGAACCCTTGGAGGCTTCTGGGAAGCTTCTTCGGAGCTCTTGGAGGCCTCGTGGGGTCTTGGGAGCCCTTGGAAGCTTCGTGGGAGCTTCTTGGGAACTTTGGGGGGCCTCGTGGATGGCTCTGGGTGGGCCCTCTTGGTGGTCTCTTGGGGGGGTCTGCCGGGCCTCTTGGGGGCCTCCTGGGAGCTTCCTGGGGGTCTCTTGGGGGCCTCTTGGGGCTTTCTTGCGGCCTGTTGGGGGCCTTTGGGGGGGGCTTCGTGGGGCTACCTGGGGGTTTGTAGGGGCCTTTCGGGGGCGTGTCTGGGCGGGGGGCTCAACATTTCCGTTCAGGTTGCGCCTGTGGACCTCAATCATGGGGTCGTCTTGGGTCCTCTTGGACCGTCTTGAGGGTTTTTTGGGCCTCCTTGGGCCGCTCTTGGGCCGTCTTTGAGCGGTCTTGAGGGTCTCTCGGGCCGTCTTGGGGTGATCTTGGGGGCCTCGTGGACCGCCTTGAAAGGTGTGAAAAACGAAAGGGCGGATATGTTAAACATGCGCGTTTTCCCAAGGGAATGATACGATTTTTGCTTGTGGGAGCCCTCTTGGGACGCCGCTTAGGGACCTCTTGGGGCGTCTTGAAGGCCTGTTGGGCCGTCTTGAGGCCATCGCAGGCGCTTGGGGGTGATATTTCGGCGTCTCCAGGCTCTCTAGGACCGTCTGGAGGGCTTCTCGGTCCCCTCTTGGACCGATTTGGAACCCTCCTGGGCCCGAAAATGAGTTCTTGAGGGTTTCTTGGGCCTTCTTGGGGCGCTCTTGGGCCGTCTTTGAGCGGTCTTGAGGGTCTCTCGGGCCGTCTTGGGGTGATCTTGGGGGCCTCTTGGACCGCGTAGAAAGGTGTGAAAGACGAAGAGGCGGATATGTAAAACATGCAGGTTTTCCCAAAAAGGAATGGGGCGATTTTTGCTAGTGGGAGCCCTCTTGGGACGCCGCTTAGGGGCCTTTTAGGGACCTCTTGGGGCGTCTTGAAGGCCTGTTGGGCCGTCTTGAGGCCATCGTAGGCGTTTGGGAGTGATATTTCGGCGTCTCCCGGCTCCTTGGACCGTCTGGAGGGCTTCTCGGGCCCCTCTTGGACCGATTTGGAGCCCTCCTGGGCTCCGAAAAAGAGTTCTTGAGGGTTTCTTGGGCTTTCTTGGAGCGCTCTTGGGCCGTCTTTGAGAGGTCTTGAGGGTCTCTCGGGCCGTCTTGGGGTGATCTTGGGGGCTTCTTTGACCGCCTTGAAAGGTGTGAAAGACGAAGAGGCGGATATGTAAAAAAATGCACGTTTTCCCACGGGAATGGGACGATTTTTGCTTGTGGGAGCCCTCTTGGGGCGCCGCTTAGGGACCTCTTGGGGCGTCTTGAAGGCCTGTTGGGCCGTCTTGAGGCCATCGCAGGCGTTTGGGGGTGATATTTCGGCGTCTCCCGGCTCTCTTGGACCGTCAGGAGGGCTTCTCGGGCCTCTCTTGGACCGTTTGGAGCCCTCCTGGGCTCCGAAAAAGGGACCTTGCCGGGAGTCTGCCGGGATTCTGCCGGGACCTTGCCGGGAGTCTGCCGGGACCTTGCCGGGGTATTCTTCGTCCGGGGACCCCCAGGGCCCGCCCCGCGCGCGATCTAGAAATTGTTGAGCAGTTACCGGAGATCTTAGCACGCCTCTGGCCCGTTGGGTCGGCGAATTTAAGTTATGGAAAAAAAGGGGCCTCGCTTCCAAATTTAGGGTTCCTTACCTTACGTCAACGCCCCGACTGTGTTCTCGGCGCAGGTCCAGCCGCGCCTCGGCGTGGGGCCCCCCGCGGCCCGCCGCCGCCCCGCCGCGATGCGCCCCGCGGCGCGCGCGGCGCGCGCCGCCCCCGGCGGCGCGGCGTGCCGCGGCGCGGCCGCCGCGGGGCTCGCTGGTGCGCCGCCGACCGCGGACGCCCTGCGCCTCGGCAGGGCGCTGGCGGGCGCGACCAGCCGGCGGCGAGCGAGGGGGGGGGGGAGCGAGAGGGAAAAGGCCTCCTCGGAGGGCGGCGGGGCTTTCCCCACATGGCCTCGCGCCCCCCTGGGCGGTCTTCGGTCCGTCTTCGGGGAAGGCCTAGAGAGAAAACTTTTCGGAAGGCCCTGGGCACCTCCGAGGCTTCTGAGAATCACGGGAAGAAAAAACACCCGGACCCGTTTACTAAACGGCCTTGTGCGTTTACTAAACAGCCTTGCCCTGTCCGATTCCTTCCCTGGGTGCGTTTACGAAACGGCTCTTCGCTTGCCGGGGTGATCATTTCTGGGGGTGGATTTTCTGCCCTTCTGAGCAGGCCTCCTCTTCCTCGCTTCCCCCCCTCGCTCGCCGCCGAACCAGCCCCGAGGCGATACTCGAGCTCTGCTGAACGGGCTCGGACGCCCTGGACGGGGTGAATGTCGCGGCCGCGCTGCACCGCGTCGCCCGCCTCGCGGGCCCCCCGCCCGCGGGGCCATGCCGCCGCCAGCTGCGCGCCTTGCTCGAGGCCGCGGAACTCAGGCTCGATGCAGCACTGGGAGGAAGAGGAGGAGGAGGAGGAGGAGGAGGAGGAGGAGGAGGAGGAGGAGGAGGAGGAGGAGGAGGAGGAGAGGAGGAGGGAGGAGGAGGAGGAGGAGGAGGAGGAGGAGGAGGAGGAGGAGGAGGAGGAGGAGGAGGAGGAGGATGGAGGAGGAGGAGGAGGAGGAGGAGGAGGAGGAGGAGGAGGAGGAGGAGGAGGAGGAGGAGGAGGAGGAGGAGGAGGAGGAGGAGGAGGAGGAGGGAGGGAGGAGGAGGAGGAGGAGGAGGAGGAGGAGGAGGAGGAGGAGGAGAGGAAGAGGAGGAGGAGGAGGAGGAGGAGGAGGGGAGGCGGAGGGAGGCGGAGGTGGCGGAGGAGGCGGAGGAGGCGGAGGAGGAGGAGGAGGAGGAGGAGGAGGAGAGGAGGCGGATGAGGAGGAGGAGGAGGAGGAGGAAGTGCAGGCTCTGCGAGATGGCGCCGCGGAGCTTGTCCGGCACCGCGTGGGCCTGCGCCGCGCTGCGCCTGAAGGACGGTCCACTTCTGCGGGCGATGAGGGGAACGAAACATCGCATAAACATACAGTGCGGCCTCCTTTCCTTGTATTCTTCCGTCTCCTCCTCGTCTCCCTCCTCCTCCTCCTACTTTCTCCTCGTCGTCGTCCCTCTTCCTCCTCCTCCTCCTCCTCCTCCTCCTCCTCTTCCTCCTCCTCTACTCCTCCTCCTACTGCTCCTCCTCCTCCTCCTCATCATCATCATTCTCCTCTCTCCTCTCCTGCTCCTCCTCCTCCTCCTCCTCCTCCTCCTCCTTCTCCTCCTTCTCCTCCTCCTCTCTCCTCCTCCTCCTCCTCCATCATCCTCGTCCTTCTCCTCATCCTCCTCCTCCTGCGCCTCCTCCTCCTCCTCCTCCTCCTCCTGCGCCTCCTGCGCCTCCTCCTCCTCCTCCTCTTCCTCCTCCTCCTCCACGTCGTCGTCCTCCTCGTCCTCCTCCTCCTCCTGCCTATGCCAAGCATAACCCTGCTTGCCTCCAGGGTGCCCTGGGTTTCTTGGGTTTCGATGATTTTGCTGTGGACGGCGCCACGTTCCCACACCACAAATCGATGGACGTCCTGAGGTCTCAGGGTTGGGGTTCTTGTGGAAGGTTTCTTGTGGTGGGGCCCCCACTGTAAACATAAAAACTCGGAGGTCCGCGCGGATTTCTCGGATCTTCGCTGGACCCCCCTTCCTGGCGCGCGGAGCGCGCCAGGGGCGGCGCCGGAGGCGCCGCCAAGGGGCCCCAGCGCCGATCCGAGAAATCCGCGCGGACCTCCGAGTTTTTATGTTTGTGTCATTGTTCGTTCCCCTTAGCGATATCGACGCAGTCGCTGCAGAAGATTGTCGACTTCGGCCCACGGGACCTGGCCAACCTGGCGTGGTCTTTCGCGGCCCAGGCGGTCCTCCCCGACACGCGGCTCATGACGGAGCTGGCCGCGGCATCCATTGACAACCTCTCGGCGTTCTCGCCGCAGGAGCTTTCCAACACGACATGGTCAGTTGCCAAGCTCCGCGTACGAGACGCCCCGTTACTTGAGGCAATCCAGCTGCCTGAGGCAAATCCCGTCCCCGTGCCATCGCATCATTTACATTTTTGCACGATGCTTTCACCGAGCGCCCCCGAAGAGGCTATGTACAATCATCTTGAAGCCGTCTGGGAAGCAGCGCTAGGAGGGTCTTGCGTGGCCTGACTGTGCATGGTTATTGCATTGCTTTTAGAGGTTTCTCGAGGAAGCTTCTTGGGACCTTGCTGGGGGCTTCTCTAAGACCTTTTGGGAGCATCTTCGGGCCCTCTCAGGGCATCTCGTGGACCTGCTAGGATACTAGGGTTGTCTTGGCCAAGATGGCTCTACCGAGATCTCCCCAAGAGGCTCTGTGGAACCATCTTGAGGCCGTCTGTGTGGGTCCTGAGGGTTTTGTTGGAGCCCTCACTGTGGCGATCTTTGGCCGTCTTGGAGGCCCTCGGGTCATCGTGGCGCCCCTTGGTGCCGTCTTGGAGATTCCCCGGGCCCCAACGTGCCGCTCGCACGGTGGCGGATATCATCGGAGGCGCGCGGTCGGAGTTTAGGGTCGCAGGAGTTGGCGAACCTTGCGTGGTCTCTCGCCGCCCTCCGGTGGCACGACGGGCCTCTTCTGGCAGACATCTCGTCACGGGCGCCTCGCACGATGCGGGAGTTCCGGGCGCAGGAGCTGGCCGCGACGGCGTGGTCCTACGCCTCGCTGGCGTGCCCCGACGCAGCGCTCCTGGCGGCGCTGTCGCCCGCGGCCGCCCGCCGGCTCCCGCAGTTCGACGTGCCGAGCCTGGCGAGCCTGGCCTGGGCCTTCTCGAGGCTCGCCGTGGCCGACGGCCCCCTGCTCGACGGCATCGCCGCGGCAGCGATCGCCCGCCTCGCCGGCGCGGTCGGGGCGGGGCCGTGGGAGCTGGCGCAGACGGCGTGGTCGTGCGCCCGCCTGGCGCTGCGCGACGGGCCGCTCCTGGAGGCCCTCTCGTCGCGGGCGAGGGCCGCCATGGCGGAGAGCAACCCGCAGGAGTGCGGCAACGTCGCCTGGGCGTTCGCCACCCTGCGCCGGCGTGATCGGCCGCTGTTCGACGCGATTGCCGCCCCTGCGCTCTCGAAGATGGCGCAGTTTAGCCCGCAGAACTTGGCGAACACGGCCTGGGCTTGGGCCGCCCTGTGCTTCGACCACGCTCCTCTACGTGCCGCCCTTTCGTCTGCTGCAATGCAACGGCTGGAGCTGTTCGGAACGCACGAGCTCGCGAGCACGGCGTGGTCATTCGCCACGGTCGCCGACGCCGACGCGCCCCTCTTGCACTGTATCGCCACCGAGGCGCTCGTTAAGATCTGCCAGTTTGCGCCCCAGGCGATTGGCAATATTTTTTGGTCGTTCTCTACATTAAGCTACTACCACGAGCCCCTGTTAGACGGTATAGTGTATGCTGCTCGTGCCCGCACCCACTTGTTCAAGTCCCAGGAGCTGGCTAACACCGTGTGGTCGCTAGCTGTCTTTCGCGTCCAGGACTATCCTCTGCTGGAAGCCATCGCGGTGGCTGCAATCTGCAGCATCAGGCGGTTCCGGCAGCAGGAGTTGGCCAACACCGCGTGGGCGTTCGCTAAGCTGCTATTCCCGCACCTGCCGCTGCTGGACGCAATCGCCGCCGCTGCCGCGCCGAGCATCCTGGACTGGGGGCCGCAAGAGCTGGCCAACACGGCGTGGGCCTTCGCGAGACTCCGCGCACTGGACGCGCCGCTGCTGCAGGCGATCCCTTCCGCGTTCCTGGCCCGCCTGGCGGAGAGGCAGCCTGGCAGCTCCAGGGTCCTGCCGCGCCACGTTGAGATGGTCACGTGGGCGCTGTCGCGGCAGAGCGACCTGGCGCCGGCGTGGACCTTCCTGGACGGGCTGGAGGTCGGAGGGAGGAGAAGCGACACCAACACCACCAGGGGGGCCACCTCCAGCGAGGAGGTCCACGATGCCTCCCCGAGCTGGAGGCTGGGGATTTCTCGAGCGGGAGGGGGGGTGGACCGCACCACCAGGAAGACGCCCCTTGCTCCTCGCATCTCCTCGCCCTGGTGGTGTTGGTCACCACCCACCAAACCACCCCAATCCAACCCGAAGGCCCCAATTTGGCCTCCATTCCCAGCGGGGGGGCGTCGGGGAACATCGAGAAAACACGTGTGGAACCCGTACCCCCCCAGCCAGGAATTCGGGTCTTCGGGTTGGGTTGGGGTGGTCTGGTAGGTAGTCAGTTGGTGTCGCCTTTCCTTGCTCCTGTGGAGGGCGCCGGGTGGCGAGTCGGGAGCCAGGCCGTCGCGGGGCTGCTGGGCGAGTGCGAGCGGCGGAGGAGAAGGAGAAGGAGAAGGAGAAGGAGGAGGAGAATGAGGAGGAGGAGGAGGAGGAGGAGGAGGAGGAGGAGGAGGAGAAGGAGGAGGAGGAGAGGAGGAGGAGGAGGAGGAGGAGGGAGGAGGGAGGAGGAGGAGGGAGGAGGAGGAGGAGGAGGAGGAGGAGGAGGAGGAGGAGGAGGAGGAGGAGGAGGCGGAGGAGGAGGAGGAGGAGGAGGAGGAGGAGGAGGAGGAGGAGGAGGAGGAGGAGGAGCCAGGCCGTCGCGGGGCTGCTGGGCGAGTGCGAGCGGCGAGGGCTCCCGCAGCGGCAGCGGCAGCTGCTGCACCTGCTGGCCCGGAGCGCGGCCCTCGCCGCCCCCGCGCGGGCGGGCGCCGTGGCACTGCCGCGGCCACCTGCTGGGTGCCTCGGCCCAGGCGGCGCTCCGGGCAGTCCGTTCGGGTGTTGGCTAGAAGTGCCCCTGGCCCAAGGTTGGGGGAACGAGCAATGACATAAGCATAATAACTCGGAGGTCCGCGCGGAGTTCTCGGATCGGCGCTGGGGCCCCTTGGCGGCGCCTCCGGCGCCCCCTGGCGCGCTCCGCTCGCCAGGGGGGGGGGTCCAGCGCGGATCCAAGAAATCCGCGCGGAACGCCAAACGTTTTATGTTTATGGCGTTTTTTCTTCGTCTACCTCCGGATTTCCAAGGAGACCCCCCAGGCCTCCAGAGCACCCCTAACGAGGCTCGGAGGGCCCCAGGGGCTTTCCAAAATGGAGCGAAAGGTTGGTGGAGGAGGAGGAGGAGGAGGAGGAGGAGAAGGAGGAGGAGGAGGAGGAGGAGGAGGAGGAGGAGGAGGAGGAGGAGCACCCTGGGCCAGGGGCACCTTCAGGCCAGGAGGCGGCGGAGGAGGCGGAGGCGGAGGCGGAGGCGGAGGCGGAGGCGGAGGCAGAGGCGGAGGAGGAGGAGGGAGGAGGAGGAGGAGGAGGAGGAGGAGGAGGAGGAGGAGGAGGAGGAGGAGGAGGAGGAGGAGGAGGAGGAGGAGGAGGAGGAGGAGGAGGAGGAGGAGAGGAGGAGGAGGAGGAGAGGAGGAGGAGGAGGAGGAGGAGGGAGGAGGAGGAGGAGGAGGAGGAGGAGGAGGAGGAGGAGGAGGAGGAGGAGGAGGAGGAGGAGGAGGAGGAGGAGGAGGAGGAGGAGGAGGAGGAGGAGGAGGAGGAGGAGGAGGAGGAGGAGGAGGAGGAGGAGGAGGAGGAGGAGGAGGAGGAGGAGGAGGAGGAGGAGGAGGAGGAGGAGGAGGAGGAGGAGGAGGAGGAGGAGGAGAGGAGGAGGAGGAGGAGGAGGAGGAGGAGGAGGAGGAGGAGGAGGAGGAGGAGGAGGAGGAGGAGGAGGAGGAGGAGGAGGAGGAGAGGAGGAGAGGAGGAGGAGGAGGAGGAGGAGGAGAGAGGAGGAGGAGGAGGAAGGGAAGGAGGAGGAGGAGGAGGAGGAGGAGGAGGAGGAGGAGGAGGAGGAGGCGGAGGAGGAGGAGGAGGAGGAGGAGGAGCACCCTGGGCCAGGGGCACCTTCAGCAACCCCCGATCCGTGGAGCGTGCTCCGGGGGGCCTGTCTCGGCGGCCCGCTGGGCCCCCTGCCGCCGTCGGTCGCCCGGGGCCTGCTGGCGCAGCCGCCCGGCACAGGCCGCGAGCACGAGAAGGAGGCCCGCCTCCTGGCCTTCGTCCTGTCCACGGCGCCACCCGGCCGCCCAGAGGCCATCTGCGAGGCCATCGAGCGCTTCTGGGGGAACGAAGAATGACATGCACATAAAAACTCGGAGGTCCGCGCAGATTTGTCGGATCCGCGCTGGGGCCGCGGCGCCTCCGGCGCCGCCCCTGGCGCGCTCGGAGCGCCGATCCGAGAAATCCGCGCGGACCTCCGAGTTCTTGTGCTTGTGTCATCGTTCGTTCCCCCAGCTTCGGGTACGGCAACCTGTCCCGCCCGCACGGGGGCGAGGGCGGCCGGGCCCCCTCCGCGGGCCAGTGGCTGAAGGTGGCCGGCGGGGACAAGGCCGCCGTGCTGTGCGCCGCGGCGCGGCTGGCGCCCTCGCCGGGTGCCGCGCGCACGCTCGAGGTCGGCACCTACTGCGGCTACTCCTCCATGCGCCTTGCGGTGGCGAGGCCGGGCTCCGTGGTGGTGACGCTGGAGTCCAACCCCGTCCACGCCGTGGTGGCACGCTGCATCGTGGGCTACGCGGGCCTGTCGGGCGTCATAGACGTGAGGGTGGGCCACAGCGAGGACGTGCTCCCGCACCTGGCGGCGGCCGTCGAGGAGGACGGCGGCGTCTTCGACCTGGTCTTCTTCGACCAGCGCGGCTCGCGCTACGCCGCAGACCTGGCAGCCCTGCGGCGCGGCGGGCTGCTGGCCGACAGAGCGGTCGTGGTGGCAGACAACGTTCTGAAGCCTGGCGCGCCAGAGTTCCTCTGGGAGGTGCTGCGGAGCGGCTGCTTCCACACGCAGGTCGTCTCTGTGTCGGAGTACGCCATGCCGGGCGTCGAGGATTGGATGTCTCTGAGCGTGCACTTGAAGCAGGACGAGCGGGGGGCGCCGCCCCTTCCCCGCAGCCTCCGGCGGATGGAGTGGGAGGCCGACCAGATACGATCGCGTGCAGAGAGGTTCCCCGGCGTCTCGTTCGAGGAGTGGGCCAGCTTCGCGGCGCGCATGCGGGAAGCCCTGGCCGTTTTTGGCATCGGGCCGTCGGCAGAACGAACAACGTCTTCGAGGTCGTGATGACCACCATCCGGAACAGTGAGGATCCCCTCCACCTCAGGTGGCTTGGGAGTCCCGCGGCCTTGCGCGAGGACCGTTCGTCCTCCAGTTACGCGCGCCAGCGGCTATGTTTTTGATGTTTTTCCGTTGTTGGCATTGTCGGAATTTGCGAGGGGTCGTGTTCGTTCACTGCTCTCGGCTCCTGGGAGCCCCAGTTTGCGGTCTCCGCTGTGCACAACCGTTCGTCCCCTCTGTCTCCTCCCGCTGCCTCTGCTGCTGCCCGCCCTCCTCCCCCCGTCCCCCGTCCGCTGGGGGTGGTCCGCCCGTGACCGCCCTGCTGGCTATGCCCCGACAGGTCCGCCCCCCCTCCGCCGCGTGCCTCTCTCAGCTTGTACAGTCAGCGCGCCTAGTGAGGATGCGCGCCTTCATCTAGGATTCTGATGTTCCAACCTACTTTAGCCTTCAGGAGGAATGTTGAGCAGCAAGAACGTACCGAATCTGGAGGGTTTTCACGGGTCGGGCCCTGGGAGGCGAACGAGAACTTGTCTGGGTGTTCGAAATTATTTCTGGGATGTGGCTCTTAAGTGCGATGGGAACAACATAAGTCTAGGGTGCCCTTGTGCCCTTGCCTCTGCGGCCGGTCCTTTGCCGTTTTCACTGGTCGCCCGCCGCCCAATTCCGGCCTCCAGGGGTCTTGCGTCTTTGCCACCCGTCCTTGATACACGTTTTGACTGTAGCCGATCCGCTTCTGACAGGCAACGTGGCGGAGCGGCCCCCCCCGCCTCCGCCTCGCGCCCCTCCTGCAATCGGCGAAGCGGCGGAGCTCCACCCCTGTCTGCCAGTCGCTGTGGACGAGGCGGGCGCTCAGAGCAGCAGGCACCGCGGTGCTCTTTGCGCACTGTGCTCCGCTTCATGTCTTCTCGCCCTTCCCTCTGCCCCCCACCTTCCCTGCGGCAGGCGCCCGCAGCGGGCATCTCTTCAGGCCTCTCCTGCGGCCGCTGCGGGGGAGGCACTCGCCGCTTCCTCGAGCGGGGCCCGCCCCTGCGGAAGCGCAGCGAGGCCGGGCCGCGCTCCCATGCCCTCGGGCCGCCGCGGAGGCGCATCTTGTCTCGTGAGCTGCTGGCGCCTGGCGAGGCCGTTGGGGCCCCCTCCTCCCCCCTCCCCCCACACCATCCCCTCCGACGAAGGCATCTATGCACCACCACCGTGCCAGACCAAGGCCATTCTGGGCCGCAGGATGGCGTATAGACCCTCCTGGCTCGGCCAGGAGGGCGTACACACCATCCTGGGGCCCAGGATGGCCCCGACCTGGCACGGTGGTGGTGTACAGATGCTTTCTGCGAAGATCCCCCTTCCCCTGCCGTCCCCCCCTGCCCCCTCCAGCCGCCCTCTGGCGGCGGGCACCAACGCAGGCCTTCGTGTCGTCGTCGTCGTCGTCGTCGTCGTCGTCGTCGTCGTCGTCGTCGTCGTCGTCGTCGGTCGTCGGTCGTCGGTCGTCGGTCGGCATCGTCGTCGTCGGTCGTCGGTGGTCGTCAGCGGCGAGCGAGGGGGGAACTAAGGAGGAGAAGGCCTTCTCGGAAGGCGGCGGGACTTCTCAGAAGCCCCCGCGCCCTGTGAGACGTTTTTGTGGTCTTCGGGGAAGGCTCAGAACACTTCTCAGTGGCCAGGGGACGTCGGAACCTTCTGGGCAGGCCTTCTCCTCCTCACTTCCCCCCTCGCTCGCCGCCGAAGGACTGATGCAGACGCCTTGCGGCCTGTTCCGCCGAACGCGGAAACGAGGAACGCTTGGACGCAGCGGGCGGAGAGCGGGGCGCGCGAGCCAGGGGGCAGTGGTGGCTCGGCTTCGAGGGCCAGAGCGCTTGGTGGCTCTCGGTGCACCCCGCCGCAGCGCTTCCGTCGTGGACTCGACGCCTCTCGGATGCTCTCGGGGCCCACCTCGAGGCCGGGAGGCCCTCGAGGGGACGTCCCTGGGGGCTGGCTCGCAGCCTCGGGTGCCGCCCTGGGAGGGCTGGCTCCTGGGCTCCCCGCGGAGCTCGGGGGCACTCTTTGGGGCCCCTTGGGGCCTCCCTGAAGGGCCGCCATGGATCGGGTATAGCAAGGGACCCAGGTAAGGGGACCCGGTTAGTGGTAGGGCCCCGGAGCCCTTGAATCGGCCAGAATCACTGAACCAGGTCTGCCGCAGCTGGTGTTTTTTCGGGTGACGGCAGTTCCGGTTAGTGGAGATGGGACGGGGGGACGCCCCCGGTACACATCACTAAACCAGGTTCCACTAAACCCAGTTCTGCCAACGCCCGAATGGAGTAGAATCGGGGAGCTTGCTGGGCCGTCTTGGGCGCTCGGCGCCAACGAACCAGGGACCCGTTCTTGGCCAAGTTGGCTTCCCGGCGAGGCCTCGAGAGCCCCGGTGACGCTCCAGGAGGCTTCGAGCGGGTCTCCAGGACCAGCCTGAAATCTGGCTTGTCCTTCTACAGGAGGAATATCAAAAAATAGTAAACAAATAGTCAGGGGACGATTTTTTTATTGTTTTTTTGCCTATTTTTGGGGGTATTTTTTGAGTATTTTTTTCGCCACAAATCACCCCGTAAGGGGACGCGCCCGACTTCAGACCAGCCCTGGGGTTCACCCTCCTGTGCATGTTGGAGATTTTCGGGAGTTGCTGAAAGTACCCCCTTGGCCCAAGATGCCCCCGCTTTTCGCTCCGCTTTGGAGCTGCTGGGGCCCTCTGGGCCTCGTGATGGGGTGCCCTGGAGGCCGTTGGGGCCTCCTTGGGAACCCTGGGGGCACCTTGGGCCAATGGCCTGGCAGCATCCGAGATTTGGATTCCGAGCCGCGCCACCTCCATGTCTATCCGGAGCCAACACGGGACTGCAGGCTCAGAGGAGGCCTCCGCTGGAACCTCCCCCCCTCCACCCTCCTCGGGTTGAGTCGGGCATGTCCCTCTACGGGAGGAATCTTCAAAAATAGTCTACAAATAGTCAGGGGACGATTTTTGTTTTGTGTTTGAGCACCTTTGAGCATTTTTTGCTTATTTTTTAATTTGCGCCCCAAATCCGTCTGCTGGAGGACATGCCCGACCTAATCCTCGGGCGCACTTTTCGGGCCCCCCTTTGGGACCCCCTCTCGCCCCCCCCTCCCGCCCCACTTCTGGGGCCCACCAACTCCTTGAGTCACTCCATCTCTGGACGGGACGTACACTCTAGCAAGGCTCGGACCAGGGAAGGCACGTCTCAACGGGAGGCGTCTCATGAACGGACGGCTTCGATGGAGGGGCAGGGGGAATCCTTACGGCAGGCTCGTGCCGTGTTGACGCGGTGGCGATCCCAGCGCGGGTGTTCACGGTTGACCGCCGTCAGTGCCTCGGAATAAGCCGACATCTCGCGCTCCCCGCCTTCGGGAAGCAGCGCGTTCACAGTTGACCGCCGCAGGTGCCCCAGCATCGGCCGACATCTCGCGATTTGTGCTGTCGGGAAGCAGCGATCGCTCAAGGCTGAGCCATCCACGCAGTATCGCAAGCCAATTCCAACGTCGTCACGACGCGAATCTGCCGTAATATTCGAGGGTGGACAGACCTACCCTGACACGTCGATGAAGGAATTGGCCGTTTTCGGTTCGCGAGAGGGCGTCGCGGCCGTCACTTTTGCGTGTCCAGGTCCGACGGTTTTGGTCCCAGGCCCTTTTCATTAAGGGGAGGTTTACCGAAGGCAGGTTGGTCCACCGCCGAAATATGATGAAAGGCCTTTGCACACGCCAGCAGGGTCTCTGGATTTCTCTGCGAGCCGCCGTAGAAGGGACGCTGCTGCCGACTGGAGCGATTTGAAAGCACCATCGTGGTCCGCTCCCTGAGGCCGCCTTCAAGCACCCGGTTCTCGCAGCAAGCAGTGCGATCGCTTCGCTTCCCTCAAGGTGCAGACATCGGCATACAAAGTCTTCGGATGTCCGCGCGGACTTCTTGGATTAGCGCTGGACCTCCCTGGCTGCGTCTCCACCGTCGTCCCTGTCGCGCTCCGTGCGCCGGGGAGGGGGGTCTAGCTCCGATCCAAGGAATCAGCGTGGACCTTCGAACGTTTACGTTGTGCAGCCTCTTCTGATTATACTTCCGCTGCTGCCATGCGGGTAGCGTTCCAGGCCACTGTCCAGGAAACGTGGGGAAGGAAAATTGTGTTCGTCTCAGTTATCTATCGGTCGCTGAAAGTAGGTGTTCTTGGATCCCCACAGTCAAATCTTCTTCAGGCGCCTTCCTTCGTCAAGAGTCGAACGGTTGTCTCTCTTCCCTCCTCTTCAGGGGGCGGGCGGAAGCCGAATCTACCGTCAGCGCCTTCCTACTTCATGTTTCTACCTACTCCAGATTTCGTAATAAAGGGAGGGGGGTCTCATTTCGGGGGGGGTCTCTTCCAGGCTATCTTGGAGGGCCTGGGGGGTCTGGGAAAGATGCTTTGGAGGGTTCTCCCACGGGGGAGGTCTGAAATGGCTTGTCTTGGAGGGTCCAAACCCCCTCCCTGTTGTTACGCAATCTGGAGCACTCCTTCACGACCGAGGGGTATCCCTCCAGCTTGTCACGGGCGCCCCACTTCCCGACCGTGTCGCAGCGAGGGCACCGCCCCTTCTGTGAATAAGACGTGCCTCGCTCTTTCTGCTGGCTGCCTCCCGGGTGGCAGGCAGCAGCAGCAGCCTTTCGTGCATGCCGCAGGCACCATTCTCTCGCCTGCAGGCCCATGTGAAACAATGCGGGAGCCGCACGCGGTTGCAATATCATTCTGGGGGGTCGGCATCACCGCGCCCTCAGGGGGAACATGATCTAGATGCTTCGCGTAACCCACCAGCCCGCATTTTGCTCAGTGCATGTGCACACCTCGCATTCGTTGCGGATTATTACTGCAGGTGCGTTGCCTGTTGTAGCTAATTAGCCTCGCCTGCTGGCCCAGACGACGCGTTCCGCTCCCTGACCGCTGCCTCGGAGCCGCCGACCAAAAAAGTAACCCACCAGCCCATCCAGAAACGATGCCGATGTGAGTTGCCCTGGTCAGGGATGTGGAGGAGCACGCAGTGGAATCTGGGGCTGGGCGTCATACTTTAGGAGGGGGAGAGTGAATGAGGCATCGGACGAGGAGGAGATTGAGGTGGAGGAGGAGAAGAAGGAGAAAGTTTGGGGAGGGGGGGGAACGGGGGGAGGATCGCGGAGGGAGGAGAAGGAATAGGCGGATGAGGGCGAGCTGGGTGATGATGATGATGCTGATGATGCTGCTGCTGATGATGATGATCATGCTGCTGCTGCTGATGACAATAATGATGAACACTATGCTGATGACCATGATGATGCTGGTGATGATGCTGCTGCTGATGATGATCATGATGATGATGCTGCTGCTGGTGCTGATGCTGATGCTGATGCCGATGATGATGCATATGATGCTGATGATGATGGTGGTGGTGATGGGTGATGATGATGCTGATGCTGATGATGACGATGCTGCTGCTGATGATGATGCTGCTGCTGATGATGCTGCTGATGATGATGATGCTGATGCTGATGCTGATGCTGCTGATGATGATGATTATGCTGCTGATGATGCTGCTGCTGATGATGCTGATGGTGCTGATGCTGCTGCTGATGCTGCTGATGATGAGGAGGAGGAGCTGGAGGAGGAGGATGAGGAGAAGGAGCTGGAGGAGGATGCGATGATGATGCCGATGTTGCTGATGATGCTGATGATGATGTTGATGATGCTGATGCTGCTGATGATAATGAGGATGATCACGCCGATGATGAGTCTGTTGATGATGATGATGAGGAGGAGCAGGACGAGGCGGATGACAAGGACGCTGCTAATGAGGATGGTGATGATGATGATGATGATGACTATTGACGATGATGCTGATGATGAGGACGATGACGATGAGGATGATGCTGATGATGATGAGGATGATGAATATTCATGGTGATGCTAATGATGCTGATGATGATTATGGTGCTGCTGCTGCTGCTGAATGATGTGGACGATGAAGATGCAGATGACTATGATGATGATGCTGATGATGATGCTGCTGCTAATGATTATGCTGCTGCTGATGAGGATGATACGACTGATGCTGATGCTGATGCTGATGCTGATGATGATGACGATGATGATGATAATGATGATTATGATGGTGATGATGGTGATGCTGCTGAAGATGAGGTTGTTGATGATGATGCTGATGCTGATTGTGAGGATGCTGCTGCTGATGATGTTGCTGCTGCTGATGCTGATGCTGATGCTGATGCTGATTCTGCTTCTGCTGCTGCTGCTCATGATGATGGTGCTGATGATGATGATGATGTTGTTGTTGATGATAACTGTGATGATGCTGAAGGTGCTGATGATGATGATGCTGATGATGATGATGATGATGTTGCTGCTAATGATGATGAGGATGCTGATGATGATGATGATGCTGCTGATGCTGCTGCTGATGATGTTGATGACGAGGATGATGATGATGCTGATGCTGCTGATGATGATTATGATGATGCTGATGCTGCTGATGCAGATGATGATGATGCTGATGATGATGCTGATGCTGATGCTGCTGCTGCTGCTGATGACGATGATGATGATGATGATGATGATGATGAGGAAGATGAGGATGAGGATGAGGATGATGATGAGGATGATGATGAGGATGATGATGAGAAATATGATGATGATGATGATGATGATGATGATGATGATGATGATGATGATGATGATGATGATGATGATGATGATGATGATGATGATGATGATGATGATGATGATGATGATGATGATGATGATGATGATGATGATGATGATGATGATGATGATGCTGATGATGACGATGATGATGATGATGATGATGATGATGATGATGATGATGATGATGTGATGATGATGCTGATGCTGATGCTATGCTGATACTGATGCTGATGCTGATGCTGATGATGTGATGCTGCTGATATGATGATGATGATGATGATGATGATGATGATGATGATGATGATGATGATGATGATGATGATGATGATGATGATGATGATGATGATGATGATGAGGAGGAGGAGGAGGAGGAGGAGGAGGAGGAGGAGGAGGAGGAGGAGGAGGAGGAGGAGGAACAGGAGGAGAAGGAGGCCCTTGGAGGCCGTCATGGGGCCCTTTTGGAGGCCTCGTGGGCGATCTTGGGGGCCTCTTGGGCCGTCTTGGGCCGTCGGAATGCAGAAAAGAAGCAAATGCCAGCATTCTTCAAAAACCTACGGGAAAACCTCTGATTTTGGCCTTTTCGAGCCCTCCTGGAGGACCTCCTGGAGGCCTCTTGGGCCGTCTTGGAGGCCTCTTGGGGGCCTCTTGGGCCGTCTTGGGTGCATCTTGGGCCGTCTTGGCGGCATCTTGGGGCCATCCTAGCCGTCTTGGAGGCCATTTTGGCCGTCTTGGAGGCCTCTTGGGGCCTCTTGGGACCGGCTTGGGGGCCTCTTGGGCCGTCATGGAGCCATCTTGGAGGCCTCGTGGGCGATCTTGGGGGCCTCCTGGGCCGTCTTGGGCCATCGGAATGCCGAAAAAAGAAGCAAATGCCAACATTCTTCAAAAACCTGCGGGAAAACGACTGATTTTGGCTTCTTCGGGCCTTCCTGGAGGACCTCTTGGAGGCCTCTTGGGCCGTCTTGGAGGCCTTTTGGGGGCCTCTTGGGCCGTCTCAGGCCATCTGGAGGCCATCTCAGGCCGTCTTGGGTGCATCTTGGGCCGTCTTGGAGGCATTTTGGGGCCATCTTTGCCGTCTTGGAGGCCATCTTGGGCGTCTGGGAGGAGGAAACACCCTTCGGAGCCGGGTCTGGGCACTCTTCCCGGGACCCCGGCGGGACGGGCCGAAGCCCCAGGGGAAGCTCTTTTCGAAAAGAGCCACACCGCAAAACGATAGGATTTGGCACGCCAGGCACCCCTCTTGCAGGCAACAGCGGAGGAGGAGGAGGAGGAGGAGGAGGAGGAGGAGGAGGAGGAGGAAGAGGAGGAGGAGGAGGAGGAGGAGGAGGAGGAGGAGGAGGAGGAAAAGGGCCCTCGGCCCGTCCCGCCACCGTGCCTGGGTTTTGAGTGCGGGTCTTCACGGGTGCGGCTCAGGGCTCGGAGCGCGCTCGGGGGCCCGTGGGCGGGCCGTTTGGGGACCGCTGTGGAGTTTCCTGGGGGCCTCCTTGAGGTTTTTTTGGGCTCCTTTAGGCCTCTCGGGGGCTTCGCGGGGCCTCTCGGGGGCCTCTCGGGGGCCCCTCGGCGCTTCCCGGGAGCCTGTCGAAGCCGAGGGCTCGAAGCGTCCTCTCGAGTGGCCTGCCTGGGCCTTGTGTAGATCGTGGGGGCCTCGTGGGCCGTCTTGGGGACGCGGGAAGCGGAAAAGGTGAGAAATCCCCAAATCCTTCAACCACATTTTTTGGGGAAATCCATGCATTTTGCCTCTAGGTGCCCTCTTAGGAGCCTTCTTGGAGGCGTCTTGGGGCGTCTTGGGGGCATTCTGTGCTGTCTGGAGGCTATCTTGGTCATCTTGGGATGATCTTTCGCGACTCGGGGCACTCTTGCACAGTCTTGGGGGCCTCTTGGGGCCCTCTTGGCTTATTTTTGGGCCCTCTATCCGCCCATGATGCGTTCGTCCTGGGCTCCAGGGGTGGGTGGGTCAAGTTGCCGGTTTGGGGTCCCTGGGGGGGGGGATTATGGGGGGGAGCAATCTCGCACTCCTGGAGACCTACGAGGGGGCGGCGGATTCCCGAATAATGAATTAGCTATTTGAGGTGCTTCCCATCGGATTCCAAAGGATTCTTGGATGATTCCCTCGGATTCCTACGGGTTCACGTCGGTTGCCGAAGGATCCCTGAAGATTCCTGAAGGATTAATGACGTTCCATGGGGCTCCTGAGAGATCCCTTGGGTTTCTTATGATCCCAACGGATTCCCCAATACTGGTACAGGTTCCAAAGGATTCTTGTGGGGTTTCCGGAGGAGTCTTGAGGATTCCTGCGGATGCGTTCTGCGCGCAGAGTCCTCCAGGATGTCTCGAGCGAAACGCTGTTTCTGTAGCAATTGACGGGCTTCGGCGCCCCACGCGGCCCATGTGGTTTTTGGAGTTCAAAGTGATTCCCGAAGGATTCTTGAAAGGATTCTTGCGGATTCCTGCAGGTTGCTGAAGGATCCCTCGTGAATTGCGCTGCGTCTGCGCTCCCATGACACGATCCTTGCAACTTGCACGGCGCCCGCGCTCCCAGGGCCACGATCCATGGGAAATAACTATGCTTGGGCACTCCCAGGGCCACGATCCTGCCCCCGCCCCCCCCCCTCCCATGGGAAATTATTTATCAAATTGGTGTGCTAAGGCATCACGGGGGGGTTATTTCACTGGAGTCCCCCCACCCTCCAGAGACAATTCGGCTTTCGATGTGACGATAACACCAGGGGGGCCCTTAATGTGTTCTTAAGGTTACGGATGGGGGGAGGGCCAGAGGGGGCGTGTTTCTACCATCTGGCTGTCATGGGCGGTCCTATGTTTCTGTTGTGCCGTGTTCAGGTTTGCTCTCAGGGAGCCTCTAGGGGTCGTCGTCTGCGCCCATCTTGGATGGTTTTCGCGCCGCTGTTGGACCGTTTTGGCGCGCCTTCTGGTGGCACTCTTTGGTCGTCTTTGGGTTTTCTTGGACCGTCTTGAACTCCTTAGATGGTTGTTCTTGGATGCTCCCTCCGGCTGTTCTGGATTTTTCTTTATGCCGCTCTTTGGCCGTCGTGGGCTATCTAAGCGCTCCCGAGGCCATGTTGGGCCGAATCGCCTAGGAAGGTATTGAAACATTTCAGTGATGCTGGCTGTCTGAGGCTTCTCTTGGGACCTCTCTTGGGGCCTCCCTGGCGGCATCTCATGCGCCTCTGGGATCTTCTTGGGGTCTCTTGGGCTGCCTGGGAAGCCGCTTGCGCAGTAGTTGCGGCCTTCCTCGACCCTCTTGAGCTGTCTGGTTGGTACATAGGCGCCCACTTTGTCCGTCATATGCTTGTCTTAGGAGGCCTGAGGCTCCCGTGCACTCCAGGGCCTTTTTGACACCTATCCCGCCATTGTCCAGTCGCACAAACCGACCCCCTTGGCCTTCTGACCCTCTTTCCCCCTCGCCCTCAGTAAACTTATACCGCAGGCAAACATCCACGGATGGTTCTTCCGCCTCTTGTCAGGCCACATGGCCATTCTGCACGAAGCGCTGTTGGACAGCCCTCGGCGAGGCACAGCTGGTGAAGCTGGTATCGGGTCTGTCCGAGGCTTCCTGAGCCCTCCACCAGCCACATTAAGATTCACTTGTTTCATGATCTGCCAGCTTGCTGGGAGAGGGAAATAAGCAGACGGACGATAAGAGTCCTTCCAGCATGCAGCGGGAGTTTCCCGATTTCCACCCCTCGAGGTGATGCCCATCGAAGGCTCTATGGCGCTCAAGGCCGGCGGCTCGGAGGTGACGCCCCAGACCTGATCATCTACATCGCGTTCGTCCTCACGGCTCCCCCCCGCCGAGTCAGGGTGCTCCGCGCACGCTGAAGTCCTCCTCGCAGGCTGAAGGCTTGCCTCGGGCACCTGGCCCGTCGATCAGGTACGGGCGTGGCAACTTTCCCGGCAGGGGTCGTCCGTTCCTGCGCTCTGTCCGAAGTTGACCCCAGGCCAGGGGCAACGATGCGGGGCCTAGGCATGAGGGGGGGGTGCATCGACCCCCCATCGCCTGTGGATCGCCGGGAGGGGCCCGAGAGTTTTCACCCTGCCCAGGAAGGCGCGGACTCGCTGTCGGAGGCCTCTCACCGCTCTGTCGCCGGTTCCCCCGTCGTCGCCCCTCGCCCCCGGGGCCGCCGGGGGTCCCAGGCCCGCTGCTCCCTCGCTCCAGACCTCTGCGCTCCCCGAGGGCAGGAGGAGGAGGAGGAGGAGGAGGAGAAGAAGGAGGAAAAGGAAAAGGAGGAGGAGGAGGAGGAGGAGGAGGAGGAGGAGGAGGAGGAGGAGGAGGAGGAGGAGGAGGAGGGGGCAGGCCGAACGTCCAGCGCAGGCAGGCTTGGGGCTGGGGGGGCAGGGTGCGGGGCACCGCGGGGCTGCCACCCACCCCCAGAGTTGGTTCGGGCATGTCCCTCTACAGGAGGAAGATTCCCAAATCAGTCAAACGATGATCTGGGTATGATTTCTCGAGCATTTTTTTTGGGGCTAGTCTGAATCTTTGTGATCGTTTTCCAGTCACGGCGTTGCTTGGTTTCGCTGTGGACGGGCCGGTGTATTTCGCTTTGGCTGGCGTGCTTGAGGGCGACGGCCCAAGGAAGGGGGGGGGGAGCGGCGACGGATTCAGGGGAAGGAGGGGACGTGATGGCGGCGGCGACGCGACGGTGACGGCGACGGAACAGCCCCTGTCACGCGCCGACAGGGTCGGCGGACTCTCAGTTTTTCCTCAAGCGTTCGCCTGTAGCAGGACGTGCCCGACCTAACCCACAGAGCCGCGCTGCAGCTGTGGGGCGGAGTGGTCGGCCGCGGGGCGCGCGCTCGGGCACCCGCCCTCTCTCTTCCACCGGTCGGCCACAGCCCAGGGCCTTCGGGTCAGCGAGCCGACGCTCGCAGGGATCGTCGTCGTCGTCGTCGTCGTCGTCGTCGTCGTCGTCTTCGTCGTCGTCGTCGTCGTCGGTCGTCGGCCGTCGGTCGTCGGTCGTCGGTCGGCATCGTCGTCGTCGGTCGTCGGTGGTCGTCAGCGGCGAGCGGGGGGGGAAGTGAGCAGGACGAGGCCTTCTCAGAAGGCGGCGGGACTTCTCAGAAGCCCCCGCGCCTTCCCCGAGGCTTTGTGTGCGCCTCTTCCGGGAAGGCCTGGGAAGCTTCTCAGAAGGCCGGGGGACTTCGTTTTTTTTTTTGCTGCTGTGTTTTTTTCCCCCCCCCTTGCACTTCCCCCCCTCGCTCGCCGCCGAAGGGATCCTCCTCCGATCGCGGGTGGTGCGAGAGAGAAAGAGCGGGTCGCCAGCGGGGCTCGGCTCCGCGGGTCGCGGTCCTGGCCCGAGGGGGGGGGCCCGCGCGCGGCACCCCCCCACTGGACGAGGGACGCTCCATGTGCAGCTCATGGAAGGTTCGATTCAGCATCGAAGGTGGCGTTGCCGCGGTCGAAGACTGCCCTAGTCTGATCCTGCCCCGCCTCATCCCTCGTTGATGCCTGTTCAGCTAGATCCGGATGGACCCTGGACTAGATCCGAGCTGATCCAGCGCTGTGGCCCGTGCATCGGCCTGAAATGGGCATGACTCCTGTGTCTGAGGTCCACTGCTATCTCCAGCCGCGAAGGCTGGGGCCTCAAAAATCGGATTCTTCCTGTCCGCGAGCCCCTCCGGAAGTCGGGGGCCGAGTGGATGGGCATGGCGCTCCGACCACGGATCATTCGGCGCGGGGTGGTATTAGTTGCTTCAAGGTGCGAAAAACAGGAACGCGTCGAACATCATCGAGATATGTGTGCAATGGGAACTTGCGACGCGCCTCGAAGTTCGCGCGGTTCCATCCTTCGACGTGGAGACCTTTTCGGGGACTGCTGGGCGGGCCAGTCAGTGACTTCTCGCAAGCGCGGCCGCTCGCAGGAAGTCCCGGATCATTGCGTCCATTGAAATGGACAGCGCTTCCTTGAAGGGCGCAGCGTGTCGCGAGTTGGCTGCAGCCACTGGTGAGAGAGAAGGCGCTGCGTGCTTCGTGCAACCACGTGGCGCAGCCTCGGTGCTAAGAACGCTGCTGGGCTGTGCGCATCATGGCGAGTCGGGGCGCTTCTTGCAGCGCCTAAAACCAGGAACAGGCACCAAGGGCGCCCCCAGGGCAGCCGAGCACGTACGCGACAGAACTATAGTAGGAGTCGAGGGCGCCCTTGACATGTGAGTTACATGTGTGGAAGGTGCGGTCGGCGCTCGTGAGGACGACAAACACAGCTGCGCCAACAGGTCCTCGCGATGTGCCAAGACCGAGGACGGCCGCATTCAGCTTGGCCAAAATGAACATATGCAACATGGTCGCCCCGCACTCAGTGAATTGACTGGAGCAGAAGCAGAAGGAAAGGCGGCGGAAGCTGTTTGCATGGTGCGTCAGCGTGCGCCTTGGCCCCCCAAGTGCGGTCAACTGTGCGCGCGGTGTCTCTGCGACGCATCCAAGAACCGACCAACGTGCAAGTGCGACGATGCACTCCCGTAGCGCGGAAGCTACAACAGGGCCCCAGTAACATGAAATACCGCATGGCTATTCCTGCAGGATAGGTGGACCAGCGTGGCGACTCCTGTTACCGTCGCCCACCGGCGATGCCGACGATGAAATTGAGGGGCGCGGCGTCCAAGGTGCCGACTTGCTATTGCTTGGATGGGCGCCTTGCAAAAAAGGTGGTTGTTCGCCTTGTAGATGCGCATTGTAATGCGCACCAGTTATCAGTGTGTCCTAGCTCTTCCGTTGAGGCCCTAGCAGCAGCCCGCAATATGGAGGATTGTCACCTGGCCATCGTGACGCTACACGAGCTAAATTCTGGATCATTAGCTCCCTCACACCTCGTGAACATATTATACATAGGTGGTCTCTGCACCAAGGCAGCACTTACCATTGACGCCGAATGTGCCTTCAAGTTGTTTTCTGGATAGGATATGGATCATGCCAATGACTGTAGCCTTCTTTGGTCACATCAACTGGATTCGGCAAGCGATGGAAATGTGTATCGTGCGTAGCTTGCACTAGTGTGATACACGTGCGGTGGCGGTCGGTGGAGATACCAAAGGCTGTATCGATCGTGACTTACTCCTGCAAGTAATGGCGGGTATTCGGTTAGCCAAGTGTTTGGTCAGGCGATATACGCCGTGCAGGGTCAACCAGGCAGCATCTTCTTAGTCTGGCCAACATCGGGCTGGCGCACGAGGCGTGTGAACCAGCGTGGCAGCGTGCCTGTTGCAGCCCCCTTTACGGGCTTTTGCTATGCAGATTTTGGTGTCCGAATGTTTTGTTTGGACGTTGCCAACTTGGGCGGGTTCGCTGCTCAACTGGAGCAGCGAGGTTGCCCTCTGTGCGCGCGCTGTAGTGCCAGCTCCAGTGTGAGACTTCCCGTGCCTTGCCGTTTGCTGCAGTGTCTGTTTTTTTTTGACGTGGCTCGGCGCTCGGCTCCCCCTTCCTCACTTAGAGCGGATGTCAAACGCGAGCGTCGCGAGCGCCGTGCCTGCGTCCGCCGCAGTCTGTATCCCAAGCGGCGCCCCTTTAGAAAATGACGACGTCGTTCTCGAAGTATTACCGCATGTGAGCAGCGGAAAGGGAGTCTATTAATCTTTCTCGATGGTGCACCCCCCGATCCCATCCTTTACTACCTTCCTTCCTGCTATGGATCGGCTATGGGATGTTATCGTACGCCTGAGGCTAGGCGTAATGTTTGGTACGGCTTGCCATTCCCGGTTTTTGACTATATGTTTATAGTTATATTTATAGTTATAGTTATATTTATATGTATGTTTATGTTTATGTTTATGTTTATATTTATATTTGTATATACAGATGCATATACACACATATATATATATATACATACACATATTTTTCTTCTCTCTCTCTCTCTCTCCTTTGCACTATTCTTCTTCGAGCGCTTTTTTGGCATCGTGTTGTCCGCGCCGCATTGGTGGTCGGAAAGGATGCGATGATTGTCCCGAGAAATCCTTACCCGAGGTTGCGGATCGATCTTTTTACCCAGCGACTTGCGGCAAACAAGCGGCGAGCTCTACCGCCGTGCCAGCGCAGCACAACAGCATGAATCATTTTTTTCTTCTTTTGATTTTGCTTTGTTTTGTTTTGTTTTGTGTTGTTTTGTTTTGTTTTGTTCCCCACATCCTGAGTGGGGTTCTTGTTTTCCCAGGACACCCTCTCCTTCCCACCTTCCCACCTTCCCACCTTCCCACCTCCCGCTCCCTCTTCCTATTACTACCAAACCATACTATACCATACCATACAATGACGCTCCCTCTTCCTACTCCTACCATACCATACTATACCATACCATACAATACCATACCATACTATAGCAGACCACCGTACCTACCATACCACACCTAGGAAACCATACATACACCATCACCGCATACCTACCACACCAGGCAATACCATACAATACATACCTACCACGCTCGCTCCCTCTTCCTATTCCTACCATACCATACTATACCATACGGTACAATACCATACCATAATATAGCAGACCACCGGAGTCAGGCAAGCACGTAGGAAACCATACATACACCATCACCGCATACCTACCACACTATACAATACCATACAATACTTACCTGCCCTCCAGGGAGGCCCCGCCAGAGCGAGGACAGTATTCGCAAACCATATTATTTATCAGGTTTCGTGCCCCTCACAGCGCTCCAGGGAGGCCCCGCCTGAGCGAGGACAGTATTCGCAAACCATATTATTTATCAGGTTTCGTGCCCCTCCCACCGCTCCAGGGAGGCCCCGCCTGAGCGAGGACAGTATTCGCAAACCATATTATTCATCAGGTTTCGTGCCCCTCCCACCGCTCCAGGGAGGCCCCGCCTGAGCGAGGACAGTATTCGCAAACCATATTATTTATCAGGTTTCGTGCCCCTCCCACCGCTCCAGGGAGGCCCCGCCAGAGCGAGGACAGTATTCGCAAACCATATTATTTATCAGGTTTCGTGCCCCTCCCACCCCTCCAGGGAGGCCCCGCCTGAGCGAGGACAGTATTCGCAAACCATATTATTTATCAGGTTTCGTGCCCCTCCCAGCGCTCCAGGGAGGCCCCGCCAGAGCGAGGACAGTATTCGCAAACCATATTATTTATCAGGTTTCGTGCCCCTCCCAGCTCCAGGGAGGCCCCGCCTGAGCGAGGACAGTATTCGCAAACCATATTATTTATCAGGTTTCGTGCCCCTCCCACCGCTCCAGGGAGGCCCCGCCTGAGCGAGGACAGTATTCGCAAACCATATTATTTATCAGGTTTCGTGCCCCTCCCACCGCTCCAGGGAGGCCCCGCCAGAGCGAGGACAGTATTCGCAAACCATATTATTTATCAGGTTTCGTGCCCCTCCCACCGCTCCAGGGAGGCCCCGCCTGAGCGAGGACAGTATTCGCAAACCATATTATTTATCAGGTTTCGTGCCCCTCCCACCGCTCCAGGGAGGCCCCGCCTGAGCGAGGACAGTATTCGCAAACCATATTATTTATCAGGTTTCGTGCCCCTCCCACCGCTCCAGGGAGGCCCCGCCTGAGCGAGGACAGTATTCGCAAACCATATTATTTATCAGGTTTCGTGCCCCTCCCACCGCTCCAGGGAGGCCCCGCCTGAGCGAGGACAGTATTCGCAAACCATATTATTTATCAGGTTTCGTGCCCCTCCCACCGCTCCAGGGAGGCCCCGCCAGAGCGAGGACAGTATTCGCAAACCATATTATTTATCAGGTTTCGTGCCCCTCCCACGCTCCAGGGAGGCCCCGCCTGAGCGAGGACAGTATTCGCAAACCATATTATTTATCAGGTTTCGTGCCCTCCCACCGCTCCAGGGAGGCCCCGCCTGAGCGAGGACAGTATTCGCAAACCATATTATTTATCCAGGTTGAGCGTGCCCTTCCTGGGAGGCCCCGCCTGAGCCGCAAACCGCACCCTCCTTGAGCTCGCTGCCACCCCTCCCCCCGCACCTCCGCCTCTTCCTCTTCCTCCTGACTAAGCCCGCGCCCTATTAAACGCCCATGTGGGGAACTCCGTTAGCATTTTTTTGTTCATTAATATATATATATATTATATATATATATAATGAAAAAGTTGTTTCTGACGACCCGCACCAACTCAGCTCGCGGTCGGAATTTGCGACACCGCTCCCATGTTGCTTCGAGGACGAGGGCGAGGACGAGACGCTATGGATATACGGATAATTAGGAGGAGTGGAGAACACGTGATGGAGGATGGGCGAGGAGGTGGAGTTGAAGACTTGCGCAGGTGTAGGCGGGGCATTGAATTTGTTCGGATCTTGAACCGCACCTCCTCTTCGCCGCAGTTGTCGTGGACGCTTTCTTCTTGTCCTCACCTTCGTTTTGCTCCTTCTTCATCCTTCCTCCTGTATCGTCTCTTCCGTTTATTCTGCTTCTTCTCGCCTTCCATCTCTATCTCTCTTCGCTTCCACGGTTGCCTGCCCCCACCTCCGCGAAACATGTTGTCCTCGTTGTTTTTTGTGACGAGCATGATGATGCTCATAGTGATGCCGATGTCGACGACGATGGCGAATCATAATAAACACATGATGCTGATGATGATGATGATGATGAGGGTGAGGAAGATGATGGTGATGAGGAGGTTGACGATGTTGTTGATGATGGTGTTGATGATGTTGCTGCTGATGGAAGTGATGTTGATGATGCCTGTTGTGATGTTGACGGTGATGTTGTTGATGACGATGTCGATGACGACGATGATGATGCGAATTATGAGTATGATCATGACATTGATGATGCTGATGATGATGACGATGGTGATGGTGATGATGATGAGGAGGAGGATGATGCTACTGATGATGCTGATGATGCTGCTGATGATGCTGATGCTGATGCTGCTGATGACGATTGTGATGATGATGATGATGATGATGATGATGATGATGCTGATGCTGATGATGATGATCATTATGGTGTTGGTGATGGCGATGCTGATGGTGATGATGATGGTGACGATGCTGCAGCTGCTGCTTCTGATGATGATGACGACGACGATGATGATGATGATGATGATGCTGATGCTGATGCTGATGCTGATGCTGATGATGATGATGATGCTGATGCTGATGATGATGATGATGCTGCTGCTGATGATGATGATGCTGATGCTGCTGATGATGATGATGATGATGCTGATGATGATGATGATGATGATGATGCTGATGATGATGATGATGATGATGATGATGATGATGATTCTGATGATGGGGAGGAGGAGGAGGAGGCGGAGGAGGAGGAGGATGGGGAGGATGTGAAGATATTGCTAAACTTACGGCCAGCTTTAGTCACGTGCCCTTTCAGAACTCGTGCGGTTCTTGAATACCCTCTTTGGCCGTAAACTCGTTCTCATCATCATTTCTCGTTCCTCCTCGTTCTCCTCCTTACGCGGGTCTTTAGTTCTACCTTTTCATTTCCCCTTCCTCCCCAGACTGCCTCCTCACTGTCCATGAGAAAACGCTTCCCCTACCAAGGTCTGAACGGGCGAGGGTATGAAACTCCGACTTCTTCTCCCCTTCCTGTCTGGATTGTCAGCCTCCCCCTCCACGCCAAAACGAAACCAGACAGACGAAGGATATCGATGAATGGCGGCCAGAGGATGAGGATGAGGAGGATGGAGGAGCAGGAGGAGGAGGAGCAGCAGGAGGAGGAGGAGGAGAAGGAGGAGGAAGAGGAGGAGGAGGAGGAGGAGGAAGAGGAGGATGAGGAAAAGGAAGAGGAGTAGGAGGAGGAGGAGGCAGATGAGTTTAAGACCCTCTCCAGGTAGTGCTTTACCTGAACTTGCGCGGGTCTTGAGCGCCCTCTACCTGTCGCCTGCTTCTGCTTTTACAGTTGAGGCCCATGCCAAGAAGCACCCTGCTTGCCTCCAGGGTGCCCTTGGTTTCTTGAGTTTCGATTGTTTTGCCATGGAATGCGTGACGTTCCCACACCAAGAATCGATGGACGTCCTGGGGTCTCAGGGTTGGGTTTCTTGTGGAAGGTCTCTTGTGGTCGGGCCCCCACTGTACTCCCTCCTTGTTTTTCCTTGTTCCCCCTGAAGGTATCTTGGAGACTTCTCGGGGGCGTCTCTGGGGCCTCTGCGGGGCCTCTTGGGGCTCTGTCTGGGGCCTGCCGTGGGCCTGCGGGGGGCCCGTCAGGGGCCCGTCGCGGGTCCGTGGGCGTGCTGGCTCCGCGGAGCTCTCCCGAAGATGCCCGGTCGAAGCATCTCATTTGGGGTTGTCCTGGAGCCCTCGCAGGCAGTTTTGGAGGATTCTCGGGCAGTCTCGGGGCCGTTGGGAAGCTCCCCTGGAGCAGTTTTCGAACGTGTTTGCAACTTGTTCGGGGTTTCTGTAGTCTTGCTGCTGGTGATCTGAAGCAGAAAAGCTCAGGAGCCGACACGCATCGACTTTCTTGTGGTTTTCTGGCGATTTTCGCGTCCCCGCTGGAATTGTAGGCTTCTTGAGGTCTCTTGGGTCATTTCGGGAAGATGTTGGAGCCTTCGGGCGCTCGTTAGGCTGTGCCTGGACAATTTTGGGTAAGACTTTGGCTCTCTCGGAACCGTCTGGAGGCGGAAAAGGGCACCGGGAAGCAAGCGCTCAGGGTGGGGATTTTCGAGCCACGCGCGCGGGGAGGGAGGGTCGGCCCCAGAGCACATGAGATGAAGATAAACCCTACTAGGCAACCAGCAAGCATGCCAGCATTCCCCAGTGTGCCGAAGGCACTGTGGCGCACCCCCCCTCACGTTCGCATTCTTTCCGTCGACAGGCGCACTGATGTCTCTACTCGTGCTGTGTTCCCGTTCTTGCTCGCAGCTTGCCAGCACCTCTTGGGCGCGATAGCGTGGCAGGGCTGTGCAACAGACGCAACGGAGGATTATACAGAGAGGATGTGGGCAGCAGCGAGGAGTTGGTCGGAGAAAGCGAGCGCACCCACCAGTTCTGTTTTTTGTTGTTGTTGTTCTTCCCCTCTTCTGTTTTTGCCTGCGAGGCTTCGGGCCTCATCGCGCTCATCTTGAACGCAGTGGGGTTGCCGCTGATATTGGGGTGCCCCGCCTGCTCGGCGCCCGCACGCGCCTTCCCAACCTCTGCCTCTCTCTCTCTCTCTCGCTCTTCTCTTCTCGGGGAAGCGTAGGACTCGAGTAAGCCGACACTCGGGTTTGCCGACGTCTTCTGACGAGCGCGTCCTGGATTTTGACGCTCCAGTTTTCGGGGGATGTTTGCAGCGGGAGTTCGCGTCAAGTTTCAGATTGTGCCATCGTCATTTTCATTGATGGCCCCGTCAGGCCAACCCGAGTCCCCCGAACCCGAGTCTTACAGTCGAGGCGGATTGGTAGGTCGACCCTGCCAAATCAAGGGTGCTCTTGCGTCCTGTGTTTACCGACCCATGCCTTCTACATTCCCATTGCATTGTGGCCCTCGGAAGGGTCTTGTGTCCTCTCGCGTGTCCTCTCCAATCAACCTCGACTGTACGTCTCCCCGATCTTTCTCCGTGGCATCACCACCTGCTTGCCCTCCCCGGGGAGGCAGCTTCTTCCTCTGCGTTTTTCCCAGCGCCTCAGCGTGCCCAATGCTGGTCGGTCGTGTTCCGAGTAGTGCGGAGGTCCGATCCTCGAGTGGGCTCGCCTGCGTAGGCCGTGAGGAGGCTGTAGGCACGGCAGTCGAGCAGCCGTCGACGCCGTGCTCGTCCTATTCGTGAGCCACTCGGTGCCACTGGGGAAGAGGTTGTACAGTGGAGACCCATTCCAAGAGACACTCCGCTTGCCTCCAGGGTGCCCCGGGTTTCTTGGGTTTCGATGGTTTTGCCATGGAGAGCGTGGCGCTCCCAGACCAAACATCCATGGACTACCTGGGGTCTCAGGGTTAGGTTTTTTGTGGAAGGTTTCTTGTGGTCGAGCTCCTACTGTATGGTACGTGTGACCCGCGTGCGCCCAACTGAACAGGTTGTGATGCAGCATCGGCCCGTGAGCATCCCATCAATGGCAGGCGAGTTTCTGAGGTTGCGTTGGCACCTTAAAACACGTATTCCAAACTCAAGTTGGGCGTCGCCACCGTGATCGCAGCCGAAGGCGTAAACCCAGTCGCACGCGTGGTCGCAGCAGCAGGACCACCAGGAAGGGGGCCAGCAGGATGAGGTCAGGGCGAGGAGCGAGGAATCGACGGCGAGCGAAGGGGGAAAGTGAGAAGGAGAAGGCCTTCTCAGAAGACGGCGGGACTTCTCAGAAATCCTCGCGTCGTCTGAGAGAATTGTTGTGTCTTCGGGGCAAGCCCAGACCATTCTCAGACAGTCGGGGGACTCCCGAGTCTTCCGAGAAGGCCTTCTCCTTCTCACTTCCCACCTTCGCTAACCGCCGAGAGCGGCGAGGCAGGGCCGCCTTGCCGCAGTTACATTCTGGGCGGCGTCCTCGTTGGGCCCGAGGTGCTCGAGATCGTGCCGCGGGACGGCCAGACGGCCAGTCCCCGCCGCTGCTCCCGCGGCCCCTGCGCGGACGGAACGCCCTCCCCCCCGCTGCCCTCCGAGGAGGAGGAGGAGAAGGAGGAGGAGGATGAGGAGGAGAGGAGGAGGAGGCGGAAGAGGAGGAGGAGGAGGAGGAGGAGGAGGAGGAGGAGGAGGAGGAGGATCATGCAGAGGATGAGGAGGAGGCGGAGGTGGAGGAGGAGGAGGCGGGGGAGGAGGAGGAGGAGGAAGAGAAGGAGGATGATGATGAGGCGGAGACGGAGGATGGTGAAGAGGAGGAGGAGGCGGAGGAGGAGGAGGAGGAGGAGCAGGAAGATGAGTAGGAGAAGGAGGAGGAGGAGACATAAGCTGAGGATGAGGTGGAGGAGGCAGAGGAGGAAGAGGAGGAGGTGGAGGAACACGATGATGAGGAGTAATGATACGAACCGTACACTCGTACTAATATTATTGGCAATCGTAATATGAATAATGGAGCACATACGAATACCACTGCGATCAATCTTAATACCATCAATCAGGTAACTAAGGCGATTACCCCGACCACTAATAATGATACCACCAATAAGACTAGGACACCGAATGCTAAGACGCCGTGTACTAATACGCACACGGGTCATAGTGATAAGACGTATGCTACCACTATGAATGTATGCGGATACGACTACGACGAAGACGAACACTACGGCTACGACGAATACGATTACTGATGCTAATCATAATGCCACTAATATTCCTAGTATTGGCACGAAGAACTTGAATGCGATTAATACGGCTATTTGTAAGGTTATTAAGGCTATTCGTACTACTCCGAATAACAATAATACGAATGCTACAATTGCGACCACTCATACGATTCATACATATATGACGACGAAGAGATGAGGCTGATCAGGCGGAGGGGGAGCGTGAGGAGGAGGAGGAAGAGGAGGAGGAGGAGGATGAGGATGAAGATGAGGATGAGGACGAGGATGAAGGATGAAGGGGAGGCGGATGAAGAGGAGGCGGATGAGGCGGACGAGGATGAGGATGAAGAGGAGGCGGATGATACTGAAGAGGAGGAAGAGGCAGAGGAGGAGGATGAGGATGAGGAGGCGGAGGAGGAGGAGGAGGAGGAGGAGGAGGATGAGGAGAACGAGGAAGAGGATGCTGATGATGAGGAGGAGGAGGAAACTGAAGAGGAGGAGGAGGAGCAGGAAGATGAGTAGGAGGATGAGGAGGAGGATGATACGGAAGCTGAGGATGAGGTGGAGGAGGCCACTTCGAGAGGCTTGGCAAGAAACGCAATACAGGTGTCGGCAACGTTTCGGATGCAGCCACGCTCGGGGGTGAAGCTGCTGGGGGTGCTGAAGGTGCTGGCCAGACAGCTGGGGCGGCGTCGTCGGGGTCGTCAGCATCAGCATCGCAGGGTGAGCCTTCTGAGCCCGACATTTGTGTACAGGTCGCCGCTGAGCTTTCAAATCAATGCCCCCTCCCTGGGAAGGGAGGGGGGAATTGAGTTCCAGGATGCGAGAGGCGCAGGGCCTCTCTTGTCTCGGTGTTTTGCAGAGCTTGACAACTTTATTTTGGAGGTCCACGCTTGGATGTGCCTTCCTAGTGCGGTCCCCAAGGGTTTTTGCACGCCTGCCACCAGCAGGAGTCTGAAACGGGAGTATTGCCCCTTTTTGCAATCCTCGGCTTTCGAGGCGCAGCAGATTTGTTTATGGCCTAAGGTCAAGGCCGACTCCGTTCCTTTTCCCTCTCTGGGTTCCAGGTCCCAGGTCCCAGGGGAGTGTCCTGGGGGCGGTGTCAGTGTTGCTTTGGAAGTTTGGGCCGTCAATTGCAATACGTGGGGTACGATGAAAGATATTTTGGAGGACCAGAACTGCTCGGTACACATCATTCTATGTCAAGAGCATCGGCTCAGGGATCCCGAGGCTATTGACCGTGCCTCTGTCTCGGCCCTCCGTGCTGGTTGGAAAGCTATTTGGCTTGAGGCTGTCCCAGGGCCGCAGGACGGTGATAGCGCAGGCGTAGCGATTGTTGCAAGGTCATGGCTTGGGCTCTACTCTGTGCATGCTCCAGCCATTGCTCGGGGCCGCTGCCTCGCCTGCAAGTGTCACGCCCCAGACAGCCCCGCGCTACTGCTGGTATCGGTGTATTTGCGCCACCATATGGGGCTCGACCCGTCCAACGGGGACATCCTCAGCGACCTGAGGGAGTTTGTGAGCAGTCAGTCCGCAGAATACATCATTGGAGGGGACTTCAACTTTGGTCCTGATATTTTGGAAGGCATCGGTTTTGCGAAAGCTGCTGGGGGGCTTCTCGTCACCACTCATGATTGTACCCATTACCCCCCAAAAGGTTCCCCCGCCAAGTTTGATTATTTTGTGGTCACCTCCCCCCTCGCTAAGGGCCTCAGGGAGGCCAGCGTTCGTATGGGCACGACCCTCAACCCCCACCGTCCTGTGTCGCTGGTTTTTCACCGTAGGCTTCTTGCCTTGAAGGCTCTCGCCTTCCGCAAGCCGCCGCCCCTGCCGGTTGATCCTCCGTTCGGTCCTCGGCCGCGGGGGTGCAGCACTGATTGGGATACTGTGTTGGACCTCGTCAACACTGCGGTGGACAAAGTGTCCTCTGGGCACGGCGATGGGGCTGCTGCCCTGCTTTCGGAAGGTTATGGTCACTGGGCGAATCGTGCTGAACTTGATCTGGCCAAGATTCTTGGGGCTGATCTCCCTGTGTATGGGTCCAGGGGCAAAACCAGTGAAACTTTTTGGGAGCCCATTTGTCAGGTGAGCCACCCTCCCAAGGACCCTGTTGTTCGAGGTCTGAAGTGGTTGGAGACTCAGCGCAAGGCATTAAGATCGGAAGACGAGACGCATCGTGTTCCACGGCTATGCATCATGGCCTTGTGCTCACCACCGCCGTGCTCGGGCACGGCTAGGGGGCAGCGCGCTGGAGTTTTCCGTCAAGTCGCCAGCTTAGCAGAGTCCTGCGCTGATCGCTTTGCTGGCTCTTGGTGCTCGACGTACCAAGCGGCCCCTGCTGGTGTCATTTCTCCTCCCCGCGTTTGGCCTGTCACGCTCGGTAATCTTGGCCAGGATAAGGTGGATACGATCGTTCGGATTCCGCCCGCGCTCGCCGCGTTGATGGCTGAAATTGATCAGCTGATTTCCATCATCGCCCCTCTCCTCGATAATGCAGCTAAGGAGTTCGCGAAGGAAAACAGAGCTAGGTGGCGCTCTTGGCTCCAGGAGGGGTTCGGCAAAGGGGGCCGCAGGGCTCATCAGGTCCTCAGAGACCCTGCCCCCTGGGCTCCCACTGTCACGTTGGGCTCTGACAGGGACCTGGTGGCGGACCCCAGGTCTCCCTTGGCCGCCGGGGGGAAGCGTTTTCAGAAATGGTGGGGTGTCGGTGCTGCCCCCCCCCCCCCCCCCCCCCCTGTGGGGCCCGTTAAGTTGGCCGCCCCTCTGCCTAGGTTGTCCCCAGAGGACATCAGGCAACTCAGCAAGTCTTACCGCAGGCAGAGTGCGGTCTCTGTTGGCGGTTTTCACCTCAGGCATTTGTCGGTTTTGAGCGGCGCCGCCCTCGCCGCGCTCTCGGGGCTTCTGTGGGTCGTGGAAGCTACGGGTAGGCTCCCCGATCAACTGATGGTGGTGTGCCTGGCTCTCCTGCCCAAGCCTGTGGGAGGCTTCAGGCCCATAGGTGTTTTTGTTTCTTGGTGCAGGCTCTGGGGCCGCGCCAGGGGGCCTTTCGCCCTGGAGTGGGAAAAACGTTTTGCGAGGCCCTGCAGGGCGGCGGGGGCCAACAGGGGAGCTACTGATGTGGTCTGGGGGCGAAGTTTCAAGGCCGAGGCGGGGGTCTCCAACGGCCAAGCTGCAGGCTCTGTGTTCTATGGTCTTCAGAAGTACTACGAGAGCATCTCGCTCGAGTACCTCGAACGTCAGTGCCGCAGCCTCGAGTTCCCCACCGTCATTACTAGAGTTGCCCGGGCTGCGTATCGTTCCTGCAGGTTCTTGAGCCTAGGGGGCATCATCGAAGGCCCGTTCTGGGTCAAGTCTGGAGTTGTTGCTGGTTGTTCCATGGCGACATCGTTCTTCAGAGTATTCGCCCTCAGGGCACTCGATATTTCGAGTGCAGGCTTGGCTAATGGCACTGACTTTGACACCTATATTGATGATACTTGCCTTTCGCACACGGGCGCGGTTCCCGAAGTGGTCGAGGCGCTGGTTTCTTCCTCGGTGAACCTGCACAAGGCGGTCACCCAGGAGCTTGGACGCACGCTGGCCCTCGACAAGGTTGGCTGCGTGTGCAGCCACAAGTCCGTTGCGTATCAGTTGAAGAGCGGCTGGGAGAGTTGTGCGGCAAGCCCTCCGCCTCGGTGTTGAACCTAGGTGACGACTACACGGCAGGTCGTTCATTGCGCTCCACAACCCCGGGCTGCAGTAAGGGAAAAGCGGCTAAACTCAAGGCTCGACAGGCAAGTTTTTCCGTCAGTGCAGGCGTCTAAATAAGCACAATCAAGTTCTGGGTAGAGCCTCGGTCAACATCTTCGCTTCTGGCCCGCTGGCGGGCGTTTCGTTTCGGGTTGAAATCTGGGGTGTTTCGGACCGTGAGCTTCACGCGCTCAGGAGCAAAGGCATGGCCGCGATCTCTCCCCAGTCCCAGCATCGTTCCCTCACCATTCTTTCCCTCCTCGAGGGTGGCCCCCCTTGGAGGGCTAGTGTCGCGCCCATCATTCGTTGGTGCAAAGAGTTATGGCTCGTTCAAACGCATGCTTTTGATGGGGCTCTTCCGTTCGCTGTCTTACGCTCTGCGTGGGAGGTCATCTTTAGCAAGGATGACTGGTCCTGGGCCAAAGTGAGGGGTCCTGTCTCGGCGCTGAGAATGTCTTTGTACCGGTTGGGGTGGCACGTGCCCAATTTCTGCACCATTACTAACGATATTGGGGGAGGCTCTCCAGCTTCTCCTTCTGTCTCCGAAGTTGGTGGGGGCTTTGTGTCGTGCTGCTGTGCTGA